AATAATGTTATTATTTATTTTTATTCAGCACTAAATATTCTTTACAAAAAATACTTTTTTTTTATTTTTATTTTTTTACATTTTTAAGGTTTTAAATCTGCAATAATAGCTGGACATTATACAACAATTTAAAAAGAGGAACATATGTATATAGTTATTATGTATATATAAATACACACCCATGCATGTATATATTTCAGAAAAATTGTATTGCAATATATTTATTTATAAAATAAATTATATGAATATAAATATAGAAATGTAAATGCATGTAAATATTTTCAAAATATATACTGTATGTGTGTGTATTTATATATGCATAATACATATACACAACACACACATATATTATGCAAACAAAAACTTTTATTTTGGATGCGATTAATCGTTTGACAGCACTAAATATAATATAATATAATATAATATAATTTTTGTCTAGGTTTATCTTTTTTGTGTTAATAAGTTGCAATTTTATTCATAATCAGTTCTTATAAGATGAGGAAAAAATCGTTAGGTATTAACGTTAAAGCAAGTCACTGGTTTTCAATGGCACCAATAAAATGATTTTAAACTAGTAAATTTGGAACTCTGAATAATAAAAAACAAACAAATTCAAAGACACCAATACATTGATTTAAAACTGGTAAAGTTGGAACTCTGAATAATAGAAAAACCATTTCTTCTGACAAAGTAGAAAACAGTCTGAGCAGACACCAGAAACATAACGCCGGTGAGGTGCAGCGGCGCCTTTATAACTCTCAACTGCATCAAATATAAATGCGGTGAGTATGTGTGTTTGTGGGTGTGCTCGGCTTGTTGATGGATCCAGGGCTGCAGTGACAGCATCTTTTAAAAGCTGTGCTCTTACTGGTGTCTGTCCATTGGTTGAGTAAAGAAAAAAGACCAAGCAGACCACTCAGGTCCTTTAAGTTTTCGAAGGACAAGATGGTGTTTTTCATAAAGGAGAAGATGAAAGAGGAACGAGAGAGTGCACTTACTATTTTGCCACGCTTAAATTCACTGAACCAGGAGCCAGGAACCTCTTTGGGCCATGAAGATATTCTCACCTTAAAGACGACACAAAGATAAATGTGAAAAAAAAAACATAACGGCAAAAGACCAGCTGTGCGCATAGTTTAAAATGAACAGCAAATTTACTTTAGCAGAAAATTAAATAAAATTAAACCCAGCTATTTTTCATACAGCATCTGGTTCCAACAATTGGAATGAAATGAAAAACCATCTCACTGAAATATACGGCTTTGTTTAACAAAGCATGAGAAAAGCAGATTATTTTAATGTTGAGAATGAGGTTTCCACTCAAATTTGATCTTATTAAAAAAAAAGTCATGATTTTTCGGATCTGAACATTACTACTGTTACAAAGACAAAACATTTAAACTAATGCAAAAAAACAACAACAACAAAAAACTTGTATGAGTGCATATTTACATTTTAAATGAATCTCCCAAAATCTCTCAAAAACATATCTAGGTCATATTTCACTCCAAAGACAATATATATATCGCTGTATACTTACACCTCAGTTCTAGACAGCAGCACGGAGCGCGAGTGAGTGTGATCACTCCTTCTTCTTTATTACTAGTTTTAACGCGAAATATACATTAATGAACATCTCACCCCTCACGTAATCGCTCAATCAGTGTTTCAACCACGGAAAGACGTCATTAAAACAGCTTGTAAACAAAACGTCACGTAGAGTTTCGTTTACCTCAGGCAAGTCATCAGTGTCTACAGCTCGTTATTTGCTAGAGAATGAAGTCTAGTGAAGAGCATTTTGCGAAATATTAGACTATACTTGATTATTTTTACTTTACCTGTAAGTGATGTCTTAATTATGTAATGTATATGTTTAAATAAATATTTTATGAAACAAGTTATGACTGTAAATTATTATATTTCAACAAATAGAAATGGTATAATTTAGAAGTTAATTTAAAAACATGTTTTCTTACAGCTTTTTAATTTGAGTGTTGATTATTATAGTTAAAAATAAATAGTAATTGAATTTAAGTTTGGGCTCTGTTGTTAATTGTAACCTTATAGTAATGTAAAAGGACTCCCTATAGTTTAGGTAGATTTTTATCCCTACGAAAATTGTAATTATAATTGAATTTATTTAAAGAAAGAGCCATTTGTTCAGTAAACCATTGTAAAAAAAAAAAAAAAAAAGCAATTATGTTTAGTTTATGTTTAGTACGTACCATACTGTCATGTTTGTGTACCGTTACACCCCTAATATACATATATATATAAAATCCTAAATTCATTAAGGTGTTTTACTGTTGTGGTATTATTTTCAAAGGAATTCCTCCCTCCCTCCTTCCTTCCTTTCTTTCTTCAGGTGAAAGTGACCTGGATAATGTCATAAGATTCACCCTTTAAGGGGAACGATGTGTTTGGATCTACACCTCCAAAAACTAACAATCACGCTAAAAACATCTCTTTAAAGTGACTGATTCAAACACTCCTATGGTCTTTAGGAGAAAACCCATTGTATGTGACAGAGGTAAGATGTTGTGATCTTGTCTGGCTGTTATTGGCCAGTTCATCCTTAGGGGGTTTCAGAATGCCACTCACTCCATTTGACTTTTTATCAGGGAAGATGCAGGTCTCGCCTCCCGCTGTGAAGTTGCAGTACACTTTGAAGGAGTCCCCGGAGCATCCCTGGTTGGGATCGATGTAGTATTCACCTGAGAGAAAAAACCCATCAGACATCATTATCTAGAATGACCACAGGTACAGTAGGAAATCATTTAGATCATACACGAAGATATCCTTGCATCTCTGCCTGGCTTTCTATTAATTTCCGCAGCTAAAATCACACACTTCACGGGCATCAGCAGTGGCGATGCATTGTGTAAATAAAATAGCAGGCTAATGCGAGTGCGGTAAAACCAGCTCTGAAAGGTCAGTGTAAGAGCTGGCATTTTGTAAGCCATGATTTGGGAGGGAGAGGTTAGCTCTCGCTGGAGTCCGCAGAATGCTAAACATCTTCCCAATCAGCTGTCGACTGCTGCTGCTGTTATTCAAATCCTCCTGAGTGACAGGCTTAGAATTTTAGAAGCACAGCCAATACCTACTGAGTAGCTTGGAAACCAGCAAACGCTGCATGTTTTCCTGATTTATCTGTTCGACAGTATCTCCTTTACCCCCCACCATGTTCGCTTACCATCTGGGAATTCTGGGTGAGCGAGCTGTAGGTCTTTACAGCTTCGTGTGGGGTTGTTTTGCGTGCCCATGGGGTACTTCATGCGCTCGATGTCCTGTTTGAGGTTATTCAAGGAGCTGAAGATATCTTCCATGCCCTCTCCGTATTCCAGCATGGTGCCGGCCTCGTCCGTTTGCGTGTCGATGGAGCGACGGGACTTCTTGGGCATCTGGATAGGCAGAGGCTGGATGATCTCACCAGGAGGACCCTACGGAATGAGAAAATGAGTGTACGCTCCATGAGACTTTTTAAAAGTGTTGAGCCAGCCAAATATAGTTAAAATTACAATTTGTGTAGAATTTGAGAAGAATCAGATCATTCATTTAAAAAAAATTTCTATTTGTTCCAAAATGAAATATCAATTCACACTACCGTCCAAAAGTTTGAAGTCTGTATGATTTTTAACTATTTTTGAAAGAAGTCTCTTACGCTCACCAAGGCATTTATTAAAAATACAGTAAAAACAGAAATATTGTTAAATATAATCACAATTAAAAATAACTGTTTTCTAATTTATTTGAAATAATTTGGATGATCTCACCAGGAGGACCCTACGGAATGAGAAAATGAGTGTACGCTCCATGAGACTTTTGCATTTTATTTAATTAAAAATCTCCTTGAAGCGGGCAGAAGTTCACTTACAGGAGGACCAGGAGGTCCAGCTGAGCCGGTGTCTCCCTTTTGACCAGCAGTACCCTGCAGGAAGAACATTTAAAAATCATAAGCCCTTTTCTCATTATCATTATAACAAGCCCTTCGAATTGATTGGTGATAAAGTGGTACTTACAGTCGAACCCTTGGATCCCTTTGGCCCTTGTGGACCCTAAAGAAAAATGAAAATGCATCCTGTGATGGCAAAGCTGAATTTTCAGCAGTCTTCAGTGTCACATGATCCTTCAGAAATCATTCTAATAATTTTAAGGATTTCTTGATGAATAGAAAGTTCAAAACAACAGAATTTGTTTGAAATATAATCTTTTGTAACATTATAAATGCCTTTACAGTCACTTTTACTCAATTGAATGTGTCCTTGGTAAATAAAAATTAAATCTTACTGATGCCAAACATTTGAACGATAGTGTATGTCAAAATTCTGAAACTTCTATAAATTTTAATGATGAATACAGTCAATATTGGCAAGACTGTTGAGGTGGGGCAGTCCAAAATTACAATTTTACGAATAATCTGATGTATTTAAAACGTATTACTTTTCATGCTGTCTTCATTTTAACATATCTGATAGCTCTTTTATTTTAATGGTTTAAATAGATCACGTGACAACAATTTCAGAAACTGTTCAATCTGACGACAGCACAACACTGAATGCAAGATGCCAGCAACAGAGCAAAGACTCACAGGCAATCCAGGAGGACCAGGTGGACCAAACGGACCAGAAGCACCACTGATACCCTACAGTTTAAAGAGCAGCAGGTTAGAAAGCACTTCATGTGATTCATTTGTAAAGATGAGATTCATTTTCTCTCAAAGAATTGTCTTTAAAATTGCAATTCGTTTGTCACAGAGGTGAAAATGACTCTTGCTAATCATAATCCTCTGGTGTGTATTACACACTGATCATTACACTCCATTAGAGTCGAGGACTTTTGAGTTAATTCTGTGGGGAGAAATGCAGCCTCTGTTACTAAACGCAGCAACAGATCGCAAATCTGTCTAGTGGGAAACGTTAGTGAGATGGGATCGTTTTCATTTTTTTATAAACTCACAGAAGGGGAGACTACAATTTCATTAAACTTAATCAGAATACATTTAAAGTTTCATTGCTTTAAACCACTGAAAAAGGTGGACCAATGCAATTTCTAATTGTTTATTCCATCAACTTTCAAAGGTTTTCTATATATTTACTGAAGCGTTTGACTGCATTGGATAGGTGTTGTATGGTTCTTCAATGAGGCAAAGAAAAACAAACATTTCACAGTTCGACTGTGAAAAAATGTAATCGCACTGGTGTTTGATGGGAACGTCTGGTGTAATAGAATTACCGCTGGCTCTGAGAACCTTTCATGACAGCTTCATCCATAACACGATTATGATGATGTACGCAGATGCAATAAGTGCAGATGTTATTGTTTCAGTCAGTCGTTACTTTAATTTGCCAGCATTACAGGAGGAGAAGTCCTGATAGGTGCGCTGCTGGAGGTATGACATTAGTTATGTGGTGGGGTGGAAAGGACAAATAAATCATTAGTGACTCACCGAATCACCCTTGCTGCCAGCAGTGCCCTGAGGACCAGGCAAACCCCGATCTCCCTTCTCTCCCTGCTCACCGGGGGGTCCGATGAGACCGATAAGACCGGGGTGACCCTGGAAGAAAAACACATATGATAGTGGATGTCACAGGTCAGAAGATCTGATGGTCAACTTTTAAGCAAAAAGTTGTAGAGACAGCAATTTTTTATGCACAGAGCCTGGACCCAACAACTAAATTATCAAAGACAATGAATTCACATTGTACCAAAGTTTTTATAAATTAATAAGAAAAAAGAAAATGTAAAAAAATAAGAATAAAAAATAATATAAAAATTAATGAATGAATGTAAAAAACTAATCATTAAAAAAGTATTTTAAAAAAAAAAGACAAAATACTAAAATAATACAAAATACAAAAAACTAAAAACTAAAATAACTGAAAATAAAACAAAGGCAAAATAAAATGTATAAATTAAAAACTAAATTAACTGGGAAAAAATGAACTAAAGAAATAACTACATGATATATTATTTAAATTATATGAATAAATATTGTTTTTCATGCTAATCATGGAAAAAAATACAAATTTAAACAATGCATTAAATATTTTATACATAAATTAATTTTCATGGCTAAGTATGAAAAATAAATTAGACAAAAACACGAAAATTTAAAAAATAAAAAATAAAATAACTGGAAAAATGTCATGATTATATTATTTACCTTATATAAATAAATACATTTACATGGCTAAATATGAAAAAAAAAAAATATATATATATATATATTTTACTCCAACTTGTGACACCAAAAGACAACAAAACACTATAATTATGTATAAAATAACATTAATATTTTTTTTAATTAATGACTCAATATCTAAGAATCAGCAATGAATTCAAAGAGGATTCCTAAATGTATATAATGCTTAAAATAAAAAGGTTTTTAAATAATAAAAAAAAAAAACACTTCTGTATATTATATTGAAACTTTTCCCCTGGCTGTGAAACTTTTCCTTTGGCTTCCTGGAGTGACCAAGTCTAGTCTTTATCTTTGTCCTTGAGCCTCTCTGAAATGTAAGACACCACATTAATAAAAATGGCAGGAAAAGAAATAGAATGTCACTCACCTTCTCACCCTTAGAGCCGGGGTCTCCTTTCAGGCCTGGGAGACCAGGAGGTCCCTAAATATCAAAGAACCAACAGTGAGAATTCAATTTGCGCACATATACCCACATGTACACACACACACACACACACACATAGAAGAGAGAGAGAGGATGAAAGGTAGATAGAAAGAACGAGCAAGGGCAACGGGGTCTCTTTTCTTACCATTGGTCCAGGTGGGCCGTCTTGTCCAGGAGCACCAGGAAGTCCTTGTTCACCCTGTGAAAATCCATCCAATTACAACAGCCATTATTGCATTGTTTTTTGCTTATGGTCTGGCATTGATTTACTGTGGGCTGGACAATGATTAATAGCCCAGATACTACAAAAAGCGTTTTCAAATAGACAAGAAACAGATACAGATTGTACAAGAGAAAGACACAGATTGTAAACTCAAAGAGAGGTGATTTATTATTCTGTGAGGTGTTTCATATAATTCTGTTCCTGTGTGTGTGCATTTAGGCTATTCAGTGGCCGCACAAATTATTTGAATACTTAAGCCACACTTAAAAATGCATGAATTCCATTGCACTGCTTGTCCGCAGTGTAAAGAAAAGAATCATAGCTGCCCTTGTACACTGACAATTTTAAGATCATGCAAAAGCCGCTAACATTGGCACTGGTGAGCAGTAATCAGTTAGAACTATTGGGAAAATGCCATGCCACGTAATTAACATTCATGAGCTTGAGAAAGTTTAGAGAAAAGGTTAAACATCATATATTTGCAGACACCACTTGGTTTCATATATACATTATGATATTAAATTCACAGTACTTTAAGTGCATCTTAAGTGTCCAAATACTATTTGGGGCCACTGTATATATGTGTATGTATAATGATGGATAGTTAGGTGATGAATGACATGGGAACCCACCACAGGACCAGGGATTCCTCGTAGACCTTCAGGACCAGGCTTTCCAGGAGGGCCCTGAGGGCCAACTGGCCCAGTTTTACCTGGTGGACCCTCAGCTCCTGCCTCACCCTGAAGAGAAGAGAGGAATATAGAAACTATTTAGATTTTTGATGCATACATTTGACATGCAACGTCTACTGAAATATCACTGAAAAAGAAAGAAAACCTTTATATAAAAAAACATTTCATTAAAAAATGCATAAATGAAAGCGTACACACAACAGTTGAAATGTTTAGTGTCAATATTATGTTTAAAAAAAATAAAATAAAATTAATAGCTCTATTCAGCAAGGACGCAAATAAACTGATTAAAAATGTCACTCTTATACATAAACAAGCTTTTGCATTGTTGTATTAAAAAATGTATTTTTTTCCCTACTCAACTTTCTATTGACCAAAAATAGAAGGTTATATATATATATTTTATTTATAAAATATATATATGTATATAATAATTATTATATTATATTATATTATATTATATAAATGACTCATTAAAGGTAAGAAACACTACATTAAAACGCTCGGCATGCTTCAACTATGCAATTTAGATTATAAGGGTTCAGTTGATGAACTAAAGCTAAAACAGCCTACACACTTCAGTCCCACAGTGACAATCTTTCCACATGTATTAACAGTGAGTCACTCTGTCAGAGATGTGCTTTTCTCCCATGGCTCGCTGTGCTTTAATTATGGCAGTGGAGGCTGCGGTGTGTGCCTGGGCTGAATTGTTTTGGAACGATGCGTTACCTTGGCGCCCTTCTCTCCTTGTCTGCCTTCAGCTCCAAGAGCCCCCGGGGGTCCCTGCGGATACAGAAAAGGACGTTTTATTTGAGATTTTTTCTCTGCTAGGCTATAAAACAAATGGGAAAAAGGTCACGGTGAGACATCACGGTAGCACTTCGGGGATCTTGCTTGATGGCTATTAATGGGCAAATGGATCCGCTTGAAGGTCTTTTGTGTGAGCATATACTCATTCTGTTATTTGTAAACTCGACTGGGGCTAGTTGTCACATTTTTACTTCAGTGAATATTTCCTTAGAGCATTGGCTATTAAAACATTTTCCTTAAAGCAATGGCTATTGAACATGTCTATCATTCCATTCAGGAAAAATGTTTTAACAATTCATGAAACAGCAAAAATGCTACAGGTAACGTACAAAAAAATATGGATTTCTACTACATAAAATGTGACAGCTTGCCCCAGTCTGACATTTATAAAAAATACCCTTGCACTGGCAACAGATTTCAACTTTTCAGTTAAAATCTACCTTCTTTTTATATTTAAAACTTGTTTGAAGTGTTTACGTAACAAGGTTGTTGGAAAAAAATATTTTAGTTGGGTGATAATAAATAACTAATTTAAGATGGTTTTGAAGTCAATGTTTGAAATGAGCATATAAAACTACTGCTAGAGAAAATATACATTTGTTTAATTGGACTTTTGACCTTATATCTGCTTGACAATTTGCCCTTGTCTCCCCTGTGTGATTTTAATTTAATGAAGAGCAGGAAGAAATCAACTAATGACAGCTGGAAGATTCACCAAATTCAATAATTCCCAAGATAGTTAATAGACTCCCTAGTCTCTTGGGTCCAAGACTGAACAGAGTCCAAGAAATAAACAGAGAGAGAGAATACGCAACAGAATCTCTATATTTATTTCCAACCGCAGTCGGTAAAATGCTGAGAAAGCAGAACGTCCCTGTGTTTGATGCAAAATAAGCTCTAGCCGGAATTATTGATGCAGGAGACTTAATTCCACGAGATCAGTCTTCCCGCGACCGTCTTCCTCTTGCAGGATTTAAACACCTTTGCTGATGAAATGGAAGCTTCTCTAGCCACAGTCGGTCAGCCATTGCTATCCGCATATGCTGATAGGATGTATAATTTTTCCAGGAAAAGCTCCATCAAGCATATTAGGAAAGCGAGTGGTGTTTTCTCTACATTCTGCATGAATAATGGATGTGTGTGTGCAAAGAGATGCTATAAAGCTTTATGGAGGAATAATGGGATAGCACAGCACTGCTTGGGCTGGCTAATAAAATTCAAGCAGAACTGTTTGCCTGATAGTTATAGTAGGAGTCTTTACCAAACGGTCCATGACCCCTAGAGACTGCAAAGTGGTACTATAGGGGGTCCAGCAGTTATTTACACCTCATATTAACATCCATTCTGGCTGGTCCAGTCAAAAGTGGTACACTAAATAAATACAAGGTCCAAAATATCAGAAACACGCGACCCCAGCAAAAACTGCCTACTTAGCTGTCAATCAACCATTGCCAATTACACAAAATAGGTTAACTTCAAGTAAAACTAAGGATAAGAACTTTAAGTTAAATGTTTCATTGTGCTTTCCACATTAAAATGTGATACATTTAAAATACAAGTATATGACGTTGTGCATCAATGAAGATCACAAAGGATCTACTGCAAGTTCAGTGTAAATGCAGTAAAATTTATATTGTGCACAAGACAAGAGGAAATAATAATATTTCACTTGCCGGTTCGATAGAGTGCCGTGAGAAACACCTCAATACAATCTAAATGGAAAAAGTTAACTTTTTCCATCCGGAAAAGAATATTCGTGATTTTCGTGACTGGCGAAACATTATTTTCTGAGAGGCGATGAGGAGCCATTTGGCAGAACAAATTTCTCTTGATGTGGCAGTGGGAGAGGATTTCGAATTCCTTTCCCAAATGTGACAGTTATATTTCCTCTTCCTCTGTAACATCCTTTACACCGCCGTCCCGTCATCGCTGTCACTCAAACAGGCCCGGGATCAATATAATGTCTGGACTGATTTTCTTCTTTCATCCTGAGAGAGATGTAGGACTACAGTGGAGGAAATGAGTTCTGGCTCCGATGCCGTTTAAACGCTGTTTTTGATTTCAGTCTGATGATTTAGTATGCGCTATTCATCATCCTGGGAAGGACTTTGTTTTTTCTGTTTGCCGTTGAACGGTGCGACCCGGTGGGGAAAACAACTGATCATCTGTGCTGATGAGGATGAGTCTTTAAACAAAAATGGTGATTCTTTTGCACAGGTCAGAATCTTCAATCAATAAATCAATAGCAGTTTTAGTTTATTGTTCCATTCTTAGTGAGAAATACTCTTTTGTGTATTCCTTGGAAAACACAAAATATTGATCATTAAGAAAGCTTGTTTTCCATGCCAGGGATGTTCAAAAAAACCTGCTAAATGGATGCTGCTTAAAATATAATAGTGATGAAGACTATACATACTCTTTTGCCAGGAGGTCCTGGTGGGCCAGCTTCTCCAGAGGGACCAGGAGGTCCCTAAAACAGAGAGAAGGAAGAAACTGAATCAAAAACAACACAACTGAACCAGCCTAATGTAGATAATAGAATTTAGGTTTAAAACTAAACTTTTCACAACTAAACTGTCTTTTATAATTTTGTGAAATTAATTAAACACAATTAAGAGACACTGGGGTTTCAAAAGCATGCCAGTGTAGGATGGATACAATTTTGCAAAATTATACAGCTGTGTGATTGATTTGAGTTTAAAATTTAGGTTTAAAACTAAACTTTTCACAACTAAACTGTCTTTTATAATTTTGTGAAATTAATTGAACACAATTAAGAGACACTGGGGTTTCAAAAGCATGCCAGTGTAGGATGGATACAATTTTGCAAAATTATACAGCTGTGTGATTGATTTGAGCTTAAAAGGATAAACTTCTAATCAGGGAAGGGAAGCTGTATGCATTTTTTGTGAAAGTTTGTTGCTCAAAACAAACCTCCCCTCATTAAATTTGCATAGAACTGTAGCTTATAAATGGGCCTCGCAATGAGACTCTCAACGCTATACGTTCACATTTGTAAACCTGAAGATTCAGATACATTGAATTTAATGGTAAATTAACCAATTTCCCTGCACTGGAAAATCCTAATTACTATAATAAATGTTAATAAGGACTGCAATTTATGGTCTGCCACTGTAGGCTCAGGCAATTATGTCTGACTTCCGCATATCCAAAAGCAGTTTATTAATTTATTACATATCTGTACTGTATATATACTTATACTATAGGAAAAAATATATAGTTGAAATAGTATGTTTTTTTAATAAACTATAGTCAAAGGTATTCCACCTAAATATTGTTGATACTCACAGGTTGACCAGACTCTCCATCATCTCCTTTTTCTCCTGGGCCTCCATCTATTCCCTGATAATCCACAGTATTTCAGAGACAAATAAATTGACAATTGAAAAAATAAGCAAACGCCTTGCTGACAATTTACACTGCAAAGACATTTTAATAATTCAAAATCACTGGTAAATACATGAAACAACCATTTTTTAATAATAAAAAATATAATAATAATTTTCAGGACTTTTAGTGATGGATTTTGGCACTTACAGCAACACCTGGCTCACCAGGTGGACCTGGGTCTCCAGGAAAACCAACAGGGCCCTGTAGTAACAGATTGAAAACACAGGTTTAACAGAGTGATGTGTCAATAACTTAAATGTCCATAACAAATATTAGGACCTACAAAACTAAATGTATCAGTCGGAGGCACAGTAACATTTCAATTGAATTACAATCTTTTATTCATCTTGGACGCATATAGTACTCAAATCATTTCTAATTAGTGTTGGAAATCTCATATTTAATCAGCATAATCCATCTAAAATGACTTTTTTTTTCTTTCAGTAAGGCTCACCTCATTGCTGTAGTGGCATTTAACTTTTAATGCCTTTTATACATGCACAAGACCTCATGCTTGTTGTGTCACACTTACAGGATTACCCTTGGGTCCATCATCTCCAGGGGGTCCTTTGGGACCTGCAGGTCCAGCAGCACCAGAGGGACCAGCTTCACCTTTCTCTCCTCTCTCACCTTTTGGGCCCTGCAGCATATATAACAAAGATGAAAGGGCAGAATAAAGAGCCCTGAGGCACTCCATGAACAAAAGCACCCTGAGAACAATGAGTGCAGCCATGCTCTACATTTTGATATAGCAATTCAAAAGAGTTAATCAGCCATTCATGTTGGTATTGACAGGCTGTAATTTAGATATTCAAAAAATAACAAAGTTAACTTTTTAGCTTTAATCATCTGATTTTTCCCACTGATGTCCACTTACAATGTTACTCAATGTTTTTGTGGCGAAAAGGTTTCTGAGCACCAACCAGGCATTTTTAACATGTTAATGAACAAGTCATAGTTTAATGTATTTCTGGTGTCAGAAGCTGCTGTTTTTTCAAATTAGTTTCAATAAATGACCATTTTGAGTTACAGTATATTTCCCACGGCACACCTTTATTCTAAAAGTTTGAGGGAAATGTTATTCTTCATGATATAAAGTTAACTGACAACAGTGTGAACAATATTTTATTGCAAACATCACCGTATTAAGCATTTCATGGTAACACTTTATTTCGATAGTCCACTTTAGACATTCTATTAACAGTAAGTAACTTTGCAACTACATGTCAACTAGCAGTTAGTAGAGTATTAGTAGACTGTCTGCTTAATATCTTCTAACACTTTCTTTGTCAACATTCTACTAACCCTAAACCTACCCTAACAGTCTACTCTGAGAGTTAGTAGACATGTAGTTGCAAATTAATGAGAATTAGTTGACATGTAGTTACAAATTTACTTATAGTTAATAGAATGTCTAAAGTGGACTATCAGAATAAAGTGTAACCCATTTCATTATATGATGAAAGTAAACACCTTTATTGGAATCGTTCCTGCAATTTAGCGACTCACTTAGTGTGGCACCTTAATTTGAGAGAATCAGTAAAGCCCAAGAAGCTTACAAGAAGTGATTACCTGCACCATCACACAGATCTCTCTCGAAAACTTCACTTACCCCAGGTCCAGGCTCGCCAGGAGGTCCAGGGTTTCCAGCTTCTCCTTGCTCACCCTGTTAAGAATATTGCAAGTTATAAGTTATTACACAACACCATATAATTGTGCTATATAATGTTCCATTTGACTGGAAATCCAGAATTTCTAGCATTCTAGTAGGCAAAATGCAAACAAATGATACTGAAATTAAAGTTGAACTTACATTTTTGGAAACTAATGGAAATTCTAAATTTAGGTCTCTTCAACTTCAGACAATTAGCAGCACTGCCATTTTGTTGCTTTATACGTTATCTTCAATGTTTTTGAAAAATGACTGAAGATCGGAGATGTCAAGTAGAGTCTAATGGAATGAATCATAAGTACTATTATCTAAACAAAGCTGCATGTTGTTTCTTGGTTGTTTTCTAGCTGGTCTGGGCTGTAGTGGACATAACGTTTGGCTCCTAATGGATGTAACATCATGGTGACCTGTTACATATTCTAAATTCATCTCCACAGCCAGCCACAACGTTAAATATTGATGGCCTGTAGGCCTGCCAAATAGCAGTGAAATGGAGGGGGATTATCAGAACTGCGGTAATGTAGGCATTAATCGTTTTGTTATACTAATTCAGACAAAAAGAGGACACCAATAATAAATTAATGAAGTCTGTAACAGAGATTTGAAACGGGACCATAGCCACCATATTTTTAGGAATAAACACCGAAGCTGGGAATACTCTTACCTTCTCACCTACAGATCCCATTCCTCCTATTCCACCAGGAGGACCTTGTGGACCCTTCAATAAAAGAAGTCGATTTGTTAAGAGGCATACGTGAAAACCATTAACGCTAGAGCCATTTAGTTAAACAAAGTAGTGTAATTAATGGATTTGCTGATGGGATAAAATGTTCAATGGTGAGAGATGGTCTTACATCAGCACCGGCAGGACCTTGAGGACCTCTGGGACCAGGTGGGCCAGGGGGACCCTGTGGCGAAACAAGAAGAGAGACAAATGAGACTTTACTAATAGTTGTAGGCTAAAACATAAAAAATTAAATTAAATTAAATGAATAAATTAAATGTGAAAAATGACAAAATAAAATAAAGTCATGTCAAAGGCAGTTCAAAAGATAAATACAATATAATAATTAATACTAGTTAATAATTGGTTAAAACATCTTACCATAGGACCAACGTCTCCATTTTCTCCTTTCTCACCAGGTGGTCCAGGAAGACCCTATAAATAACAAATGAATATTCTTGTATTATGTGCATTTATAATAACATAAATGTCCATATATTTATATACTATAATACACTGACATCAGCAACCGTGCAAAGAAATGTGCAAAGACACACTGTTGCTGTGAGGCACCAAAATGGTCCCTCTGATGAAAAGAGAAGAATAATCTGGCTCAGACGCAGTTACCGGAGGACAGCAATAATGCTTCATTTCAGAATTGGCGGAGAAAGGCAAAAGGGCCATATGGCAAATGGAAGAAACAGAGGCGGAGTACAGGAGTGTTTATTGAGTTTCACTGTCTGTCATCTTGAAATCCAAGAGAGCAGCTAATATCCTTTGTCAGATTTTTAGCTCATGTTCAGTGTGAACACTATATTGTTTGTCACCTTTTCATGGGCGGCGAATGGCTAGGGGTGAAAAACGTAGAGGACTTTCAACACTAAGCACACTATGAAAGCTATTTTACCCAGCACAGAAACCCATCTATGCACATTTACCAAATATATTTCCCCAGAGCGGCACTAGTTTCATTTGAACATTTGGGGAAGGACATGTCCCCCATCAAACCACTATTACTCCCTAAAAATGCACCTAGGACTTTTTTAAATCCGGAACATTGTGAGAATAAAACGGGCCACCAAAAAGAAGTTAGATGGCCAGGAGTGTGTTTCTTTGACGCTGCTCTCCACTAAGGGGCTAGCTGAAAAATTCATGCCGTTTTTCAGCTTAATTAATGGCCAATTAAATGTTTTACCCAGCAGAAAAGGTGAAACATCCATCAGTGAGGGTAACCAGGGAAGCATTTGTGTTTTAAAGAAGTCCAAAACACTATATCATTAGAAACCTCGGATAAAACACACCTGCGCTAGCGAATAAACAAGCTAGGCATGTGACCTCGGTATCATATGTGTTTGATCCTTGACATTTACTCCCTAATTGCCTCGACTTCGGGCACTGCTCATTCAAAGGCGTTTCTTCGTTAGCCGTAACATGTCAGGAGTGAGGACATCTAAAGTCTAATTTTGTCTGATATTTACTCGCCCAATACCCACGTGCCCTGCGGACTTGGCAGACCAACACATTCTCGCTGACTGGTAAGAGATCTCAACGGGGCAGAAGCCCTTAGTCAGAGACCATTAACATAAACACTCATTACAGCCTGAAGGGTGTGTGTGCACTGCTCTAATGTCTATTGGACCGGGTCACTAAATGCAATTAATGAAATCCAAATGGAAGTGCATTACGCCCAATTAAAACTCAATTGAATCAAATGTCTGAGATTTGGTGGCGTAAGAGGACTATAGGAGCAGTCGAAGTTACTCCATTACAGTGATGACTCGCCTTCAGAGGAATCAGCTAATGGATGGATAGAGAAATAGCAGAACCTTGAGGCTTCAGATCGTAATGTGATCAAATGAAAAGAGAGAGATGAGATGATTAATATAAATCTTCTACAAATACAGTGTTTACCACCCAAACATGACATGACTGCTGATTTGTATGGTTCACAACACGGCAACTAGACTATATTCGTTGACAGTGCAAAAAATGAAAATAAAAAATATTATAAATTCATCTTTGCTGTCATAATAAAGAATACATTTATTTCAAATTATAATAATATTGCTGTATTTTAATAAAATAAATGCAGCCTTAATGAACTCTTTGAAAAACATTAAAAATGTTTTTATATATATTCTTTTAACACAGGGAGAACTCATACTCATACTCTCCCATTAAAAAAAATGAAAAGAAAAATATAAATAAAAATTAATATGATGTCTGAACATGTTTGTTTCAATTTGTCAAAAATGCTGTCAGTCAATAATGGCGACAACATATTGTGCAAATATATATTTGAATATATTTAAATGCATAAATATATATTTAAATTGCCTTTGATGAGACAAATGTGAGAACTGCTACATATTACTAGCCTCTCGTTAAAATTACTGTGCAAACACTTTGGGACTGATATTGCACAAAACCTTTTCTACTTTTAATAAATTCTCTAATTAGTAGCATAATTAAATTGGTAGTGATTATACCACCAGCAAACCAACTGGTTTTAAACTGTTAATGCAATGGACCCTGCTCTTGTATGTCTGTACTGAGTCTGTACTTATTCACAGGGCGATTCCATCAGAGGGGCAATCAAAAGGAAATCAATTCACATCTCAAACACCTCCCAATACATCTACTGCCCAGGGCCACCAGTTAATGTTGTTTGTGCAGCATTAGTCTGAGTTACCATGGGACTAGTGCTACACAAAATAAAAATGTTAGCTCATATTTGGGCATTCATTGGCACAGCGGCACTCACCTGCAGACCGATGGGACCAGGAGGTCCAGTGAAGCCTCGGGATCCTTCATCTCCCTTCTGTCCAAACATACCCTGCTGTCCACGAGGACCTGGTTCACCATCACCTCCCTGAAGAAGACATTAGTCAGAGTTGCAATGCATTTCATTATATGCAAAACGTCACAAATAATAGATTTTTGTATGTGCAGTCAAGACGTACAGCAGGTCCAGGAGCTCCAATAGTTCCCTGAAGACCAGGTGGACCTGGTGGACCCTAGTGGACACAGTGAAGAACATAATCAAAACAACAGAGCCGTACAAAGAGATGGGAATCTTAAGTAATTCAACGATTCTGTTTCCTTAATCATTCAAATACTGGCTCTTTTTGTACTTTTGAGGACATTATTTGCTTTTAGTTAGTTCATTTCAAGTTGGACATGATAGTAAGTGTGATTCAGTGAGTAAGTCAAGAACTGCGTAAACTGATTCAGCGATTGACAATTTGAATATGTAATTCATGATTCATGATTTTTTTAGATCAATTAATTAAAAGAACCGTTTCGTACGACTCATTAAATTGTGAATCAGACTATATTGGTTGTGCTGTATGTTTGCTGCTGCATGCAACCAGCAAGGACAACACAAAATACTTTTTTTTTCTCCGGATTTAATCATTGGAAGAACCTTAAAAAATCATTCAGTCATTGCATTTTAAGTAAAACTGATTCTGAATGCAAATCGTACTGTGTGTATAAATAAGGATTTTACAATTGAATTTACTCACCTGTTCGCCTTTGTCAGCTTTGCTTCCTTTCTGGCCTGGTTCTCCCACTTCTCCCTGAAAAGGTTTTAAAATCAGTCATGCAATATCCATTTTGCCTTTTTAAAACTATATAACGCATAAATCACACACCGGTGGATATAACTGAAAGAAGCTCCATGTCAAAGTAAACCATTTACTGTGCAGTAAAAGATATGACATTGCCGTCAACCTGCATGGAGTTTTACTGTAAATGAAATGCTAAATATTGTCTCTGAACTAACAGACATGGCCAGATAAAGCATTTCTACAATATATTCTTGGCACGTAAGCCCATGAAGCTTGTTAGAGGATACTGATGGAGAGACAACGTTTATGGTACCCTGCGCTAATTTGATTATAGGCCGCCTTTGCTGATGATGATGGATTGGTGGCAGCAGAGAGCGACTGAGAGATAGGCGTGCATTTCAGATGGCCGTGCAGTGTTTGTGATGATGAAGAATGATCACTGTCCAAAAAGTGAGGGTGAGGAATTCTGGGAAGAGATGTGAGATATACTATAGTGATAGGTTTTTCTAGCACAATATTTAAGAAGCAACATTGTAAAAGTGTTCTTCTTGAATAAAGTATATTTTTCTTTCTTACCTAACTGGCAAAGTTTTTAAAAAGGACAAAGTGAAGACATTTTAGCGAGATTTATGCTTGAAAACTATTTGCTAATAGAATAAGATATATTTTCTGAAAACTCTTTTATTTGACTCATTTTACTTAGATTTTTTAGCGGTGTACACCTGTTAATGTAGCTTTAGAATTTGACAGAAAACTTCAATATGAAGGTTAAGATGAAGTGAAATCCATTACAGTCCTGTTTTAGTGACTGTGAACTGTCTTCAGGAACTGACACATCAAGAAAAGCATTGTATTAATATATCTATGGTAATGTAACGTGTCCCCTCTCTTCTGTCTAAACGTATTAATGTAAATCAAAATTGTAATTAACCTTGTCACCATCTTCTCCAGGTGGACCCTGAGGTCCTGCTGGACCTGGCAGACCAACTGGACCTTGTACTCCATCCCGACCGGCTGGACCTGGAGGGCCTCTCTCTCCCTGAACAAAGAAATAAAATGATTTTTCAGTTTGTGCCAAATCACATTCTGAATAGCAATCTTAATCATAAAAATTTTTTTTACATTTACTGAAAAAATATAAGTGATGCTAAGGTGGAGGCTATGCAGTTGCTATGCTGTAAGAAACCTTAAACTATTCACTGTCACTCATAAATGTATTATGTAATATAAGAAACAAATTGACCATCTTTATATCTATTCAGCACAATTACCGGTGCACCCTTCTCTCCAGCAGGTCCCGGGGGTCCCTGAGGTCCAGTACGTCCGGACAGGCCAATGGGGCCAGCAGGTCCTGCTGCTCCTCTCTCACCAGGGGAACCCTATGACAACGGGTGATTTTAACATATTTGACATGTAGATACTCCATAGAAATATACATGCTACAGGAGTCTAATTTATTGAAGCATGTAGACCACATTAATATGTTTCTAAAGATCTGGCGTACCTCACATATTAGTCATGTATAAAGGATTAAACCAGTTTCTCCCAAGCGACCACCAAACCACGTCCTATTAAAAATGTATTTTTAGTCTTGAAAATCCAAATGAGGAGCTTTTGCTTTTGGATGATTTTGTTCTAGTCCCAAAAATCAAGACATTTCAGACAATTTTCCGACTGTTTTTTTCCCCCTCTCAACTGCATAAATAACACCATAAACAACTGCAGATATACACCACTTTGTAAAAGTACAGAATGTCTTGCTGAAAATGTTCAACCCTGTCACAATTACTCCAGACCAGCCGAACATGAAGGGCTGTGTGTAAAACTATGCTGAGGGACTAGATGTTTACTGTATGTCTGTGTTGATGTTAGGGGGTTGCTATGTGTTAACATGTTTTTATGCAAATGTTAGGCTGTTGCAGCTGCCAAAGAGTTCTCAGTGTTTTTTTTAACATGCTGCTTTGCAGTTGCTAAGGTGTTCTGATTGTTTTTGATGTTGTTATGCTGATGTTAAGGTGTTGCTGTGCAGTTACTAAGGTGTTCTGATTGTTTTTGATGTTGTTATGCTGATGTTAAGGTGTTGCTGTGCAGTTACTAAGGTGTTCCGATTGTTTTTGATGTTGTTATGCTGATGTTAAGGTGTTGCTGTGCAGTTACTAAGGTGTTCCGATTGTTTTTGATGTTGTTATGCTGATGTTAAGGTGTTGCTGTGCAGTTACTAAGGTGTTCTGATTGTTTTCGATGTCATTACGCTGATGTGAGAGTGTTGCTATGCAGTTGCTAAGGTGTTCGGGGTGTTTTTAACATGTTGCTATGTGGATGTTAGGATGTTGCTATGCAGTTGCTAAGGTATTCTGATTGTTTTTAACATTGCTAAGTTGTTGTTAGGACTTTGCTATGTGGTTGATAAGGTGTTCTGAGTGTTTTAACAAGTTACTATGTAAATGTTAGGCTGCTGCCCTGAAGTTGCTAAGGTTATGGCATTTAACATATGCTAATGTTAAAGTGTTGCTGTGTGTTTTTAACTACTGTTACTATGCAGATGCTAGGCTGTTGCTAGGCAGTTACTAAGGTGTTCTGAGTGTTTTTATTGTTGTTATGTAGATTTTATAGTGTTGCTATGCATTTGCTAATGTGTTATGAGTGTTTTTAACATGTTACAATACAGATATAAGGCAATTGCTATGCAGTTGCTAAGGAGTTTTCTGTGTTTTTAACATATTACTTTGCAAATATTAGGCTGTTGCCATGCAGTTGCTAAGGTGTTCTGATGTTTTTTATGTTATTATGCTAATGTTTGGGTGTTGCTACAGCATGTTTTTTTAACATGTTACTATGCAGATTTTAGGCTGTTGCTATGTAATTGCTAAGGAGCTCACAGTGTTTTTAACTCTGTGTTGTTGCTGTGTGGATGTTATGAGGTTACTATGCAGTTGCTAAGGCATTCTGAATGTTTTTAACATGTTACTATGTTATAGTGATGTTAAGGCTTTGATACAGTATGTGGTTGCTAAGGAGTTCTGAGTGTTTTTAACATGTTACTGTGAGAATGTTAGTCTGTTGCCATGCAGTTGCTGAGGTGTATTGATGGTTTTTAACGTTATTATGCTAAAGCAAAGACTATAGAATACCCAAGACATGTCACTCGTATAGTTTTGAATGGGGAAAAATGCAATGCTCAATATGGCCGCTCAATCGCAGGAAGCCCCGCCTTCTGAATGAAAGAGCCAATTGCTAATCGGTAAAGTCAGCACGTCACTGCAGCTGCCGTTAGAAGTCCCAGTTGCTATAGAAACAATCAGCGCTCTGAGACGTGCGCTTAGGACTGCGCATGCGCACTGGCTGATCTTGCCTGAAAAATAAGCCTTTTATAACGCTATTTGAGGAAAAGAAACAACATTTATGACACAGTTGTTGTCAGATTTCTTTGGTGATTTCAAATATAAAATTTAATCGTAAGCTTAGTGAACAGTTTTGTAGAATTTGATGTTTCCCCATTCAAAGAGATAGGAGTTGCACTTGCATGCCTGAGAGGCGTTTCAAAGATGGCCATGACTTGTCTTAAAGAGACTTTGGCTAAAGTCAGGGTGTTGCTATTTGGTTTTTAACATGTTGCTATGTAGGTGCTAAGGAGTTCTCAGTTTTTTTACATGTTGCTATGTGGATGTTAGGATGTTGCTATGTGGTTGCTAAAGTGTTCTGAGTGTTCTTAATGTAGGGCTTTCGCACTTATTTAAAAATCATAAGTCCCACAACTTTCCTCAACAAGCTGATAAATTTGTGGTATCATATCATATCCATGGTACAAACCATGCGGGACAGTTTATGCACCAAAGTGCACCTGATAGTGATCTTTTTTTTGCAAGCACTGCTAATTAAATCATTGCACAGGGTCTTCAACACATGTGGATGAAACGGCCCAAACCTCTGTAATGTGTTATGGCAAGTGCAAAATGCTTCTATTCAACAGAGTGTGGATGATCACATTGGCACAAGCTGTTGAAAGAACAAAAAACTTCCTGTTGGGTGCCAAATCTGCTCCTACTAGTGGGCGAACATGCCCTTAGACTTCTTATCTCTCTTTCTAAACATGGTTTAATTTGTAGACCCCTGCATCTTCATACAAATGCAAATGTATCCTTTATTGGACTGACACAGCTGAATGTAAAACTCCTCAATGAATTTTCATCCATCCATTCTAATCTGGCATCACACTGTCAACGCCTGAAAAAGAGCAATTATAGGGTGACAATACTTATCTTTTTTTTCCTTAAGAGAAATGAATCAGTGAAGAAAAGAATGTGGTTTTAATTCGAGAAACTCTTGAGGACATTCAGCATCATGCCCGTCACATAAAATCTAATGAAACAGCTATGGTATAAAATGTCAAGACGAGGTAATTACAAACCAGTGCTGTGAATTTATCTCGAGACACTCTGGTGGTCAACATCACACCCTCTAGTGTTAACTAATGCCACTGCATGAGGCACTGTGGGCACTGTTTGCTTCGGTATCTCTCGTTTATTGAGAGTATGAATCAGCGGTCCACTCTTCTTTGTTTGTGCGTGTGTTCGGTAGTGAAGAACACTTTTAAAATCCTTAATGGTGTTTTTGAGCCTTAGATCTTCCTGACCACTCCCTCAACCCTCTCAGACTCCTAAATATTGAATGTTGCTTCTGGGAGAATGAGCTACTCGCAATGAATGATGGGAAACCATGGAAACAGAGTACTTACAACAGGACCAGGGGGGCCCTGAGGGCCCTCGGCTCCTTTCAAACCTGGTGAACCCTGCAGAAGAACAAAATATGAGTGAGTAAATAGGCCTAACAAGAAGGTTCATATCAAAGTGTCAGAATTCATTATTTTCTCTTGAGCATTATCCAACACATCATCTATTGATGCTCAAAGCCAGATAAAAACATGTACTGTAGGTTTTAGTGCACTGTGCCTGAGCAAACAAATCTACCTACACAATATGATCAACACATAATGGAGATTTCACATTGAAAGCTTTTGAGAATCCACACTGAAAGTGTTTGTGGTTGTGCTTTTTCAAACTTCGGTTCTTTCATGTGTTGTGGCCAGTCATGATGTATGAAAACCAATGGTGTTTGCCTACATTATTGACATTAAACCTAGTTTTAGGCATCTTTTGTGCTAAGTTTGAATCTATGGAAGTGTGAAAGATATTTGAGAACTGCAGCTTAAATTTCAGACTTTTTCTTAAGCTATTGTATGGCTTCAGAAAACTTGGAATGTAGTGCAAAAGTGATATTGTTTTGAAAAATTCTCCTTAGATATTACATGAAACAAAGAAAGAGTTTGGAACGACATGAGGGTAAAGGATTTTTGAGATGACAAAATTTCTATCTATCATTTTTAGAAGAACTATTACCTTCAGCCCATGCTCATAATTACTCTATTTCTGCTCTTTTTCTTGCTCATAAACTTAACTGCTTCAAATATTACCTGGAACACAAAATCCTGAGATAATGCTCTAATGAATTCCTATGAACTCCTATTCTGCAATTTCATTAATAAATCCAGAGATATGGTGGTCTCAAGCAGCTCTCAGATTTCACCATCAGTATTGTAAGCTTTTTATTAAAGGGAATAGCTAACCAAAAAATTAAAATACTTACCCTCATGTTGCTAAAAACCCTCACTTTGAAAGAACCTTTACAAAGATTTGCTGTCAGGTCCCAAAAAGGGCAAAAAAGAACCTTAAAGCACTATAAACAGTCCATATGTATTCTTTATTCCAAATTCTCCATCTTCTGAAGTCATACCAATGACATTTTATGTTATTCACATCCAACCTGTTCCATGGACACCTTATTTGGTTCAAGAGTTGTCACACAGGTAGATTATGACAAATTTCAATCTGTTTCTCACTTGAAATATAGTGCACAAGTTGTATGGCCCCCTTTTTATGGCACTTTTTGTCCTTTTTGGCACTTGTATAGTTAACTAATTGGCACTTGTATAGTTCATTAATCTCCCATATGAGAGAGAAATCCACAGAACTCGACTGCCTGCTGGTTCTGCCTCTACCCGATTGATATTTACTGGCCCCTTTTTCTCTCACAGGACAGTTGTCAACTGGGGCACAGTAAAAATCAAAGAGCTGACAAAAGCTCTCATGTGTGTATATGTGAGGAGATTTGTGAATCCATGTAGAGTAAAATAACTTTTGGTCCCATAAACTATGTTTATATACTAATATGAAACTAATATAAAATATCATGTAGTTGTTTCATGAACATCTTTATAGGTGCATCTGTGTGTGTGTCTCAGGTCTCATGGAGGTGCCATTGTGTCTTGTGAGTGAGGGCTTGAGATTGCCTCTCTAAAGGGCAGACACACACGGTGGTCTCGGTAATGACTGTTGCTGTCCTAAGAGAGAGGAAAAAAATTGCCCCAGTAGAAAACAATCAGGCAGTGCACGAAGAGCCAGTCTCTGCCACTGACCTTGAGATCAGACATCAACAATGAACAAACAACCTCGTCTCCCAAAATCTAATTGGCAACATTTTCAATTAAATCATTCTCTGGGCAGATAATACATATAAAAGACAACAACCCAGCCTCTTCAAAAGGTGGGAAAGGGAAAAACGTGAACGCAGTCAAATTAGCATAATGTATCGCCGCCTTAAACAATACAAAGTTAGCTTTTTTAGGGGTTATATGCCCTATTAAAGTCTTCGTGGAGTGTATGGAAGTCCAATTCTGTGGATGTAATGAGCCAGGGCTGCTGTCTAACTCTCTGTCTACCTCTAAGATTAGGAGGATTTATTGCAGTGATTTATTCACGATGGGAGCATGATCTTACTGTCACTCCAGGAAGACCTCTCTCTCCTGGGAACCCTCTCAGTCCCGGAGGACCGTCTTTTCCTGGACTGCCCGGAGGACCTGGATCTCCCTGTGGACAGACAGTTGGCAATTGAATACTTTATTGAACTTCAAATATAATGAACAGAAAATTTACACAAAATTAATTCTCAGCTGATGTTAATGAGCTCTGAACTGATGAAATGATCCTGAATTATTGCTAGCTTCAAATTCCACCGTCGGCAGCGCTGGCAGGTCGATTCAATTAATATCTCTGACTCCACAGCATGATTAAAACTGAAGTGTGTAAATTTTATATAATGAAACATGTTCTCAAACAGATTTTTCGAACAATCCATCTATCTTAATTTGGTCTGACAAACAGAAACTAAAATTTGCAGGCCCAAGAAAGTTTTTAGACCACATTTTTGGGGGAATCAAGCTGGAACTGCTCCGGGTGTGTGTTCACGGTGTGTATGTGTTCACTGCTGTGTGTGTGCACTTTGGATGGGTTAAATGCAGAGCACTAATTCCAAGTATGGGTCACCATACTTGGCCACATGTCACGTCACTTTCAATAGGAACCTGGAAGGATTTTATGAAAAGAACATTTAAACACATTCAATATGTTAATATGTCCAACTGATGTTAATTACGCTAATTGCAACTGAAAGACAAAATTTTGAACACTACCATTCAAATGTTGGCGTTAAATAGATTGTTTTAATGTTCTTGGTTCTTATGCTCAGCAAGTCTTCAATCAAAAACAGCACAATTGATTGAACGATACATTATTGGTAGCTTCAAATAAATTGTTGTTCATAGAGTTTTAGACACAGTTAATATCTCAGCACAATTAAAACAAGCCTACCTAAAACAAGTATTAAGAATACTAAAGTGTCTTGAGGGGCCAACAAGTGCCTTCGAACAGTAAACTGCAATCAGACAGGCCTGCCTGAGGCACTCAAGAGTGAATTTTGAGATTTAAAATTGCTAGAAAGATTAACACTGTTTTAGCCATTTGAAAGACGATCTCCACTTGACCTCAGTGTCTCTGCATTTTTATTGGGCCACTGAAAGTGTCATATTCAGCTAATAAGACGAGGAAACAAACGAGCTAAATCAGGAAAATGACTGCAGAAAGACCGTGAGTCTGACCGCTCAGATTGCGGCAGCATACTCTGCCTCCGGGGTGTTCACTCACATCTGACAGCCAGTCTGAAGTGGGCCGATCAAGCTGATTAAAGTGTCTCCGTTTAGGAGTGGCAGAAATTGAAACCGAGACAGGAGGGTTGGACACTCAGAGAAATTCAGTTCAGCTTTTAAAAGCCACGTCTACTAACAATTTAGACTCTATTTAGAAAGGGAATTCAACAATTCTCCACAGTACGGATGTTATAGCTCTGGAAAACTGGGATACACTTGGACAGAACGAGTTGTTGGTCAACAAATTGATCTCCACTGGCTCTTTTGTCCTAAAGAAATAATAACTGGGGGTCATAATCAATAATTTTTAGTTCTGTTTGACCTTGCCTGCTGGGCACTTTTTGTTTTTGTCGTTACATTATGTAGTTTTCCAATAAGAAAGGTTTGAAATTTAGCTTAACTATTGATAACAAGACAATCAATTATTTTCTGTTTGTACTTGCCCTCCATATATTCTATTTGGCTGAACGTCATGTAAACATGAACCTCATTCACCTTTGCACCTTCTTTTCCACCAGCACCTGGAAGACCTTGCTCTCCGGGGGGTCCAGGGGGTCCAGGATGTCCTCTCTCACCAATAGGGCCGGTTTCTCCTGTTGGACCCTTTCAAGCCATTATAGACATATTTGTGAGATTAATAGGCAAATCCTTGTGCTTATCTCAAATAATATGTATAATATGCAAAAACATAAACACCTACCTGTGGTCCGACAACACCTCCAGGTCCTGGTGGGCCAGTTTTGCCTTGGAAACCCTAGGGGGAAAAAATCACTTACTGCCTGAAAAGCAACCATCTATTGGTGGACCCACTGGATTTTATATGACACAATTTCACAGGCAAAATGTAGTTGCAGTAATTCACACTAAGTTTATTGCTCTTAAATGTGATAAACAAGCATCTCCTACAGGGTCATGTCATTAATAAAGCCTCTGCCTGGATCAGACAGAACATCCATAACTCCTTCAGATTTACACATAACTCAGAGGAAGTGGGCTCATTCAGTCCCTGAACACACTCTTGCTGGATGGATCAGTGATGTCTGCTATAGGTTATCGCTTAGGCTATTTAGGTGATCTACAAGTGTGAGTGATCGGAAACACTTACAGTCTCTCCCCGCTGGCCAGGGTGACCGGGCAGCCCATCCTTTCCAGGTGGTCCCTAAAACACAGAACAAGATGAAATATATTGTAAATGTCACATTTGTCAGCATCTAAAACAGTATAGATAAACAGGTACTTACAGGAGGGCCCTTTGGTCCTGAAAAACCAACGGGACCCTGGGGCCCTTGAGGTCCCTGGAAAAGACAGGAAAAAAATAGGTGAAAAGTCTGCTGTTTTACGTCAAAATAAGGTAACAATGCAGTGCAGATTGTTTAATGGCAATATCAGAATCTGAAATGTGAACTAGAAGAAGTGAATCTTTATCTGACCTGATCTTATGTCTTATAATCTCAATAAAAGTCCAAGGAAGGAAGCAGAATTTATAAATACTCACGATAACAAAATTTTAATAAAACATTACAAGCTGAAACTAAGCGCAATGTAGGTAAAGTCAACAGACTTTTGAAATGCTTAAAAGAAATCCTTCAGATTCCAACTGAGAAACGGAATAAATAAACAGGAAAACACTGAAAAATAGAGGAAGAAACGAGAACAGGATTTCACAGCAGAAATAAACAGCACAACATTAGATTTCGAGTGATGTGAGCCTTGGACAACAGCCTTCCAGTGGTCTAATGCTCAAGAGCTCTTCATAAATCTATAATAGCTTCCAGACGAAAACACAGGTCTGGTGGTAAGTCCTCTTATCTGGAGTACACCCACATGCTGAGCTAATCCTCACTGCGCTTCCTGCAAAAGCACCCTCTCTGAGCGCCTCAAGCCGTACACCATCTCACTGTAGATAGTATGATGGGATAAAAATGTTTGCTGCAATGCATTCTGGGTGGCACTTACTCTCTCGCCGGGTGGGCCAGGTGGACCGTCGTTGCCTGCTGTGCCCTGTTGGATAATGAGAGAGGAAAGCATAAGAACTGTGCAACGGAAGTGATTGACAAAATCAAAGTCTGAGGGAAGTAGTACCTTAGGGCCTGGCTTTCCTGTTGGGCCTCTGGCACCGCGTGCACCACGGGGACCCTAAAAAAATCAGCATATTTAGGGCTTGGTGACTTGCATAATTAAATAAAGCAAAATTAAGTCAAAATGGAAGGGGGAAGTGCTGAAGCAGTACATACCGTCGGACCTCTTTGACCTCTTGGACCGGGTTTCCCTGCAACTCCCTTTGAAAAGAAAGAAGAAAAATGAGTGTGGTAAAAATTGAGGGTGAATTCAATAGCTACACAAAGCAAATCCAATCATTGCAGTTGCTGCCGTTCTATTTGCCAAGATGAGATGGCAGTGTGTATGGGGGAAAACAAGCATTGGATACCTTCCCCTAGGATTTCTGGGAGCCATGGCAATATTTGTTTCAGATGAGGTGTAGGTGTATTAGAAGCACACAAACATACACACATACAGTACACTGTCATTTTGCTCTCTGCTCATGGGCAGGATCCAAACACTTGGAAAAATAGCAGCTAACCTGACATTTAGTTATGAATAATCATAAACGTTTAGGGCAAAGTTGCTTTTGCTAATAGGTTTCCCATGAACAACATTAGACAAACTCAAGGTTTGTTTACAAGTGAGAGCGATTTCCATTGAATTATTCGGTGAGGGTCTCTCGAGGGAAATTTTCGATTAGTTTTCCTTAGTGATAGTCAGCACAATTTACCCTTTTCATGCAACATAGGGGTTTGAGGAGTGTGATGTACAGTATGCAGAGCAATAGCGCTTTTTGCTCCATGATTATTCTGGATTTCAGTCAGGATGTATTGTAATTTCCATCTACTGTGAGGAATTACTGAATTTCTACTAGTTAGGCAAATACAGTGGGTACGGAAAGTATTCAGACCCCCTTAAATTTCTTTTTTAATAAATCTGCAAAGATGTCAACAATTCTGTGTTTTTCTGTCAATATGGGGTGCTGTGTGTACATTAATGAGGAAAAAAAATTAACTTAAATGATTTTAGCAAATGGCTGCAATATAACAAAGAGTGAAAAATTTAAGGGGGTCTGAATACTTTCCGTACCCACTGTATATTAGTTAAGAAATCACTTAACTTGCATCTAGCAAGGCAGCTGTACTGGTAGGCTATTTGTATTGGTACAGGTATCACTCTTATTGGTGCTTTACCCTTTCAAAAATTAACCATGGTTTTATTATAGTAAAAGTGTAGTAACCATGTTTTTTTGACGTATTGATTAGAATTTGTATAACTACACACACTAACGATATACTATATATACGATATACTAACTTAATATACTAACGAGAGAAAACATCCTGCTAACTCTCTAAATGAGGTAATTTTGGTGATGCAATTAATAGCTAATAAAAGTAAGCAAAATAAAATGTCATTTAAAAACAGAATTAGCTTATGTGATAACCTGATCAACCTGCTAAGCTAGTACACTGAATGGTAGCTTGAAAAAGGAAAGCTAACTAAACAACAACAACAACAACAAGAATAATGTTGAATTCAGTCTTCTTTGGTAATATACTATTAAATAGAACAAAGTGATTTTGTAACAAAGTGATATCTAATCAGGCACTGGATAATTTCAATCAGGATTCAATTTAACAGGTCTCATTTTAACAGGTGGATCAAATTTGAATGAAACTACCTCAATTTTACTGCATACCATGTAAATCAGCCTTAAATGTAAAGGTAAATTTTGTCTAAGTGTGAAGATAAATGCAAAGGCAAATGTAAATGTAGTAGCCTAAGTAACAATATACATGTAAAGGTAACTGTGAGGTGAGTGTAAAGGTAAGTACATTCAGATGACCTTTGACCCAACATATTCACACACTTTTGCCCACTTTCTGCAAGTGAATAGTTTTCCAGATGCGTGATTGTCGTTGAATCACCATGAACACAATTGTTCCAGCAGCTTTTGTAGTCACATATTGATTCGTGTCCGTGTTTTTGTACAAAGTCATCATACAATTCCTTTCATAAAAGGAATCAATCAGCCTTTTTCATATGTTTGTTATAATGCAGTGTGCACTTCACACAAAGCAGGTTGGAAGAATCCATCTCACCCTGCCTCCTTTCTCTCCATTGGCTCCTGGGAATCCGGGGAAACCGGTCGAACCCTGCAAATCAAAGAAAAAGACTTAAGGGAGGAAGAGAAGGCGGCAGGACCTGCATATTAACGAGGTATGAACTCCAAGAGTCCCGACTCTCCTACTGATTCCGACAGTTAAATGCCATTACAATCTGTTAGCATTAGCATCCTTGGCTTTGCTACTTCCACTGTAGAGTTTTAAATAGCTGTGAGACTGCTTTGTCCCCATTGTTGGCAAGCTTTTTTCTCAGAATAATTCAGCGGTTGTAAGATAGACTTTGAATGCGTATGATATATCCCAAGATAAACAAGGCCAATCTCGATTATCAGTTTCCTTGTTTTGTTTGCACAAGACTAAGCGCAGGAGAGCTTCGGGAAGGGATTGCTTGTCAGTGTGGAAATACAACGGGGTCCACCGAGGACAGAGGACGATATAATCAACTGAAACAACAGATGCTGGACGAAAACAAATGGCCACTCAGTCAGATAAACAACCAAACAGAGTTAAGATTAAGAGTCACAACTGATGAGTCTTAGGCCCAATCCCAATTCTACCCCTTAGCCCTTCCCCTTTCCCCTAGCCCTCCGTTTCGTGCGTTCACGTAAAGGGGTAGGGGTGTCTCGATTCTCTTTTGGTTAGTCCCCCCAATAATTAGAAATCGCTAAACCCTTTCCTCAAATATTGCCAATTCGAGAGTGAGAGAGAGAGAGAGAGAGCGAGAGAGCGAGAGATGAAAGTTGCGTGTATGCGCGTCTGTGCGTTTCTCTTTTTAGAGTTTACTTAAAAACAGCGATTTTATCCTCTCATTGCTGGAAAATATAATGTAGCGATTCAGTATTTAAACTGTTATTAATAAAAGTCGTGGGGCAGCGTTGACAAGTTTCTTTGCTCCTGGATGTGGAAGCTGCGCGATATCTAATGTGTGTGTGTGTCTGTCAATAAGCAGCGCATTAATATAGAACGGTAATTAAAGGCTCTAATGCACACCAGTATAGGTGTGTGTAGGAGCTAGACTACGTATGATGACGTGTGACGTATAGTAGTGGTGTCCCAATTCTTAGGGGAATATTTTCACCCCTACCCCTTGACATTCTGTTTCAAGGGACAAGGGGTAGGCGGAGGGGTAGGGGAAGGGGAAGGGGTATAAAATAGAATTGGGATTGGGCCTTAATTGCTCTCATTCGCACTTCTTGTCTGTTTCTTTCTCTCATTTTCAATGCAGTAAATTAAAAACAGCTTACCCACGTTCCTCAATCCTGACAGCGGAATAAGCATTCAAGAAAGAAAATCAATACATTATTTTACACATTCATTTTAAGGCCAGGCCTCCTGGAGAAATCAGGTTTGATTTACCACAAAGGATATTATGAAACTGTAAAGGTGAGACATTGACGAACAAGCAATGACACTCTATAAAAAAATGCCACAACTCTGACGCCAGTAACCACTCAGACAGTGATGGCTGGTCTTCAAAAGTGCACTTCATGATAATTTGAGAGTTGGCAGGCTGTTTGAATCCATTCCAGAGATGATGGCATGTCAAAGTGCTTGTAATCACATCACTTGTCTGTCGTTCGTTAATGCTCCTAAATAGGAGCGGATTTATGAGACCATAAATCTACCAACGGAGTCAGCACCTCCGCTAGGACTGGGCTTTATTCCATCTTATTCAAACAAATTCATGATAAGCTTTAAAGGTGAAAAATTCAATTTCTCCTCCACTATTGGCTACTGCAAAAATAGGGAATGAGGTTTCCCTGAACACTCCCTCTGTCTGTCATTGGTTTGACAAACAAAAACTCACGCCATTGGTTAAGCTTGTGTCAAGTACATCGGGACATGCAAACAAACAGGTTTTGACAGCCTAACACACAAATTAAATAAAATCATGTTAATAAAAAATAAATACATTTACAGAATTTGACATTGTTGGCTTAATAATATCTTTTTAATGGCATTCCCAAAATTATTCCCAAAATAGCTTTCATCAGTGGTTAAAAATTAGATTTTAAGTTTAACTTAATGTACTATGTATCATAGTCTGAAAGTACATATTCTAAAATAAAAATAATCCAAATTAATTCATGTTAATAATAAATAAATGTTAATATTTTCAGAATTTGGCATTGTTGTCTTTATAATATCTTTTTCTGATTATGGAGTTTTCATTAATAGTTGAAAATTAAGTTTCAAATTTAACTTCATTAAACTATCTATTCATATTCGGAAAGTACACAGTTTTGGATGCAGAAACAGTGCGTTCATAGCAAAAATCTTCCAGGAGTGTAAGAATATATTTTTATTTAAATAAACAAGTATTAATATCTTATATTTTAGGATGTTTTAGGACAAAAAAATACTGATTATAAATTTTAAATGACTGAAGTGCACTCCATATACATTTACCAAGCAATGTATCAAATTGTGAACTGAAAACTCAAGAGTCTTCCTAATTGTACCAACTAGGTGCCTGTAATGACACCAATGTTTGTCATAGAAGATCTCCAAACCTCCAAAGCCACTTAAGGTCTAGCTTGGGGCTGGCTTGAGCCAGATTGGGTACTGCTGCTACAGCTGATGCTGTTGTTGATGAAAGGCGCTGAGGTCTGACACAGGCATCTGTGCTCCGACTTCTTCTCGCTGCCTGCGTGACCAGCATCCCCAACAGCACAGGGAACAATCCTGGCATGAGCTGCTCATTTTAAAAAAGCCTCACTCGGTGCAGCATGCATAATGCATTCTCAGGAGGGCATTAGTTCATGCTAATGAGCCAAGTTGTTGTTTAGCTCACAAGTGAAACAATCGTGATGCAGGTACAGGTGTCATGTTCAATTTAAGTGCATACCTTTGGTCCTTGACGTCCTGGATAGCCGGGTAATCCCGGAACACCAAGTTTGCCCTGGTGGAAAACAAGCCAAGGATCATTAGTGCAAGAACATCTCTGGACAAACAAACATCTCATTTGATATTAATATTCCAAACACAAACTCTGCATCACTTCCTGACACCCCGTGCCTCAGTAATCAACTAATAACGGTAATCCGTAATCAACAAGCAGCGAACCTTTTCTCCAGCAGGTCCCAGGGCTCCAGATTCACCATTGGGACCTGCACGACCCTTCGGACCCTCTGGTCCATCCTCACCTCTGGGTCCGGCCAATCCAAGCTCACCCTAAACATGCACAGAAAAAATCAGTGCAGCTCTTCTTGGGTTAAATTAGCATGGGCTTGAAGCCAGCAAGTTTATTTGATGTTTATTTACCCTATCGCCTTTGAGACCCATGTCTCCCTTGAAACCCGGGAAACCATCCTCGCCCTGAAAAGTAGGATGAGACATTAGGGAAAACATATAGAGTGATGAAGCTATAGCTTCTGCATATAAACACAGCACCATTAATTCTTTAACATTGTACTAGATCTCCATCTGCTGACAAAAATGCAGTACTGCAACACTTTCAATGATTTCATTCAGTCTAGAAGTTACAATATTGTGTGTATGGAATAAATTAGACCAAAACTGTGGTAAGAGTGAGCAACAGCTGAAATACACTTAGCTAAATGTGTGCTAACGGCACAGCAAGAAAAAAGCAAGCTAACAGCTTATGATACAGAGTGTTGATCTATGATTGAATTCTCATTTAATCAGTCTCAATCTTGATGCATGATGCATTATGCAACTTTGTGATCACCTGACGGCACTTGACTAAATGTGTGCTAACGGCTAAAAGAAGAGCTAGCAGCTAAAGGTATGCTGACTATTATGGTTCATAGTGTTGATTTATGATTGAATTCTCATTCTCTGTCACCAAATATCAGTCTAAATCTCTCGCCTGCATGTGCAAGATGCATTATGCAACTTTGTGACCACCTGACAGCATTGTCAACTTAACTAATGCCTTATTTATTTGGATATGGACACGGCTACATACTCAGTCTTGTTATGCTGGCACTACAGTATCAATCCCACCATCAGTTGAGTGTCATTCTCAAACATTTTTTTTCTACATTGCTAAATTACAGCCGACTGCAATCTGATTAGTATTCGTTTCAATGATGGTTGATGGTTTTTGAGAAGGGGAAAGAAGAGGTTTGTGTGGCTCTGGAAGTACTTAATAGTGATGGAGTGATTTTGTCTGGAATAAGTGTTATGACACTCTCTCTGCATGATTAAACTGCACTTATGACATGATGTTTAAGAGGAGAGAACGTGTAGTGGCTATATTCTTTTTATGCAGATTTAGTGACCAGTAAGTGCCACTGCAATGATTCTTAGTGCAAGCATCATCTTCTAGCAGCGTCATTCAAAAAAGATGTGGATTTTTGCATACCTTCTCTCCTTTGCCTCCCTTCAGTCCACGAACGCCATCAGCACCCTGTAAGACAGAGAGCATGTGATCAAGCAAAGATCACAAACTCAACAAAACACCAATAAATCTCTATCAAATACAAAAAAATGCTTTACCTTCACACCGCGAGGGCCAGGATAGCCGATGGGGCCCTGGGGACCGGACTGGCCCTGAAAGTGACAACATTGAAAAATGATGAAATGTGTGCGGCGAAGAACGAATATCTGTGGCTGAGGTAACCTTGCAAGAGGTTTATAGCTAAACATACTGATCAGATACTTTCAAACAATGTTTTCTAAATCTGAAAGAAGAAAACCAAAATATTACTTTTTTGAGGTTTTATTGGTCAAACAGCTAAAAGATCAAGACTAAATACTCTCCAAGACACATTTACCTCCGAGAACAATTTGGATTAGCAAATTTTTGCTGCTTTTTTAGCTGCCTGGCATTAGCATCATCACAAAAGTAAATACATTTTTTATTACTAATCCATAAAATAATGATAATACATATAGAAAACTGATCGACCAGTATACATTCTGCATAAATGCTCCCTAAAATTGTTTCCTTACCAAAGCTCCTTTCTCTCCAGCAGGACCCTCTTTACCAGGATGTCCCTATAAAATAAAGAGAGATAATTAGTATAAGGTGACAGGCAAGAGACATATATGTCTAGTGTGTGACATTAGCTATAGTTCTCAAAGTTTGCTGTTTTAAATCACTTGAGTTGCATATTCAACATACATCTTTGCTATGATGCTTCTATAGTATCAATTATGTCAGCAAGCAAAATATGTAAGAAGATAGAGAATCGGTTATGGTCTTTGCCAGAGTTATAGACAAAGGGCTGTGAAATATGTTTCATTCATCACCTATCAGTAGTTTAGCAGACATGAATCACTTGATATATCAGTATCACTGATACTTACAGGAGGTCCGTCTGCGCCAGGCAATCCAGGCAAACCAGACCTTCCCTGAGGACCCTGTATGAAGAGACAGAGAAAAAGATCTTCGATTGGATTAAGAAGAATTTCTAAGACCATAGATGCCCTACAGGCAATAACATGCACTGAATCATGAACTTAAGAAAAATGAAATGCTACAGAAATAAATGCATGCTCGGCTCACATCTATCCTGCACTGAAGCTCATTTTGCATTTATTTATGTAACCAAAGCAAAAGAGCAAGAAATACAAATATACGTGATTAATAACTTAAATAAATACTTTATATTATGTATATATAAAGACACACACATACAGCATATATTTTGAAAATATTTACATGTATTTACATGTATATATTTATATTCATATAAATAATATAATATATAAATATATTTAATATATAAACGTAAAATATTTTTCTTATATATATACATGCATGTATCTGTATTTATATATAAATAGTAAATATACACAGTACTCACACATATATTATGTAAACAGAAACTTTTATTTTGGATGCGATTAATCATGATTAATCGTTTGACAGCACTAATATATATATATATGGAGGCCTGTGTAATCATAAAGAACAAAAGTTTACATCACCACAGTATGTTTCAAAATCTTTCTTTTTGGTCTCTTTCTGTTCAAAGGGACTCCTGAGAATTATACGGATGAAAACCACAAGAGACTTACTTTTTCTCCAGGTGGTCCGATGGGGCCCTGTGGACCTAAAAAAAAATAAAAAATACACAAGGTGGGACACACTTACACTCTCACCAGCAAGTCCTCTTTGTCCAATCTCTCCATCTTCTCCCTGTAAAGGAGAAAGAAGTGAAGAGAATATGATTATTCTAATAGCTGAAACAATGAAATGATAAGAAGGACGGTTTTTTTTTCTACAGGTGATTCAGAAAAGCATTTACCCTTGGTCCGTCCTCTCCAAGAGGTCCAGAGGGACCAGGAGGACCGTTCTCACCCTGTCAGAAAGAGACAGACAGGAAGCATCATACTTTATTACATCCAACTTAATATATAATCATTTCACCTTGGCTTGAAAGTGATCTAGGGAGTCATTTTGGATCCTATAATTATTACCTGTGTTTACATGGGAAAAGGCTGGAAATACCCTACTGTAAAGTTTCCAGAGTAGAAGGCTCTTAATTTCACCTCGGAAGAGCTCATGATTCTTCTCTGTATCATTATTTATTATTAGCCTTAATACAATGAAGAACAACACTGTCAGCTAATGTTGTGTGTTTGATGTCCTTGTTTCCGATGTACAGTAAGGGGGTAAAATTTGTGTTGCTTTAAAAAAATTTTTTTTTTAAATTTTGGTGCCTATTACAGTACCTACACCTACTATTGTTATTATTATTATTAATTTTTTTTTTTTTTTTTTTTTTTTTTTTACTCATGGTATTAACAGTCATTGTAAAGAAATCGAAATTTTGTTAAATAAAAAAAAATGCTAATCAATAGCACTGGGATAATAATCTACAATATGTGTCAATGTCAAAGTTATTAATGTTAATTATTAATGTTTGTAATGAAAGTTATTAAAAAAGTGTTCTGAGCTTCAGCACAACAGAGATGTTTTATTTTATTTTATTTTATTTTATTTTACCATAATATACAGAGTTACCTTTGCCAAAATCTTATAGGAGTTGCATCTAGGAGATAATTGAGTAATTAGCATAAGCTGGAAAATTGCTGTGAATCTCTTCATCTACATTTCAAAAGCTCCTCTAGATAGCCCTGGTCATTTACTCTTATTCTATTGCATTTGTCGAATTGATTTGTATGCGTTCATACTCACCCTGTGTCCCTTCTCACCAGGCAGACCTGGAAGCCCATCAAAACCTCTGTCACCCTGAGAAGAAGATGAGGTAAAAAATTCAAACGATATATTTATATGTACATTATAGCATATCACATATATGTGGGTGAGAATTTTTTCTTGAACCTTAGATCCAGATTCTCCAGGCATTCCACGGGCCCCGTCGGTTCCAGCACGACCCTGTCACAGAAAGATCAGAGAAGATATGACTATTATGTGTCCATATGCTAAAGACTCAAAGATTCGAATGAAAGCAAAACATAATCATCTTTTGTCCATGTGAAAAATAAAGAGAAATATCTTACTCTCTTGCCAGATTTTCCCATTTGCCCTGGTGGGCCTTGGATACCCCTCGGACCCTATGGTGGAAAGATAAATGATTAAGTAAGTAGATAATTAGGTAGGATGACCTTTGGTGGTGAGAAATGCTTTATCTTACCTGATGACCAGGGTCTCCACTATCTCCCTTCAGCCCAGGAGCTCCTGGAAGACCCTGAATGTGATTGACACCAGAGAGAGATGTATTAGACCAAGACTAGACCAAACCAACATGTTTTTAACAGATACAGAAAAGATTGAAATGCCTGCACTATACTGTATACAAAGAAACAGCAGGTGGCAATATTTCACAGCATATACTATTCCTGATCTTCACTCACCCAGAGAATCCAAATAAGCCCTGAATAAAAGTTAATGTAGTTGACATAATGGCTTGGACTTGTTTAAAGATGTAGTTATTGCACTTTACTTTAGGGAATTGTGCTGTTTCTTTCGCATCGCACCACATGAAGCAGAATACTTAGAAAAGAAACTGTTGATTTTGAAATTGCTGCTATTCCAGACAGACTGTCCTAGTTTTTTCTAACTGATTTCAAAGATAATTTGAGAGTTGAATTTTGCATTTATTCCTAAAAGTACACCCTACTGTAAGGAACCATTTGGAAACTTGAAGATTCTCATATGTCTGCTGTTTAAATGACAGCTCTAAGGATTCCCAGCTAGCCATTAAACAGCAGCTGTGTTCTTTTCTTAAATAAAGATTATGATTTCAAAGTCTCTCTTAAATTCCCACCACTCATTTCATGCTCAATCAGTGACGTAAGATAAGTATGACATGGCATGGCTGTGGTTTTCACTTCTCAAATGCTTATTTTAGGTATTTTGTCATTAGTTTGGTCGCATCTAAGTAGGATAATTTCTTGGCGTGAGTTCACCGGCCCATCGTGTTTACCTGGTCCAGTGTTAGTGAGTGTTATTTTTTAATAATATTTTGGTTTAATTTTTATTTGAATGTTTTGTGTTTTCATTTAAAGTTTATTTAAAGTTTTAGCAATTTAGTTGTTTTTCATTTTTAGTTTTTAGTCTATAAGTATAAAATGTTTACATTCATTTTAATTTCAGTACATCAAGTTAAAATAAGTGAAAATGCCTTGGCAACTACCTGAAATAGTAAGATTTTATATTTTATTCTATTTCAGTTTAGGTTTATTATAATTCAGGCAATGCAAATGTTTCTTAGTTAACCAAGACAACCGCAACCTTGCCTCTCTACCCATTAGAGACATTTTGGAGCCCAATATGTGTCTTCTCATAGAGGACATTTGTTGGGATGATTTGAGATGTTCAAAATATTTTACATATATAAAATATACAGGACAGTGATGGTGTTTTGCATATTAATAGCGATGAAATTTGAATCACTGCATTAAATTGCATTGCTCTGATTTTCAGTTAGTAAAACTCTGATTGGAAAGCTGATTGGGTGGGACTTTTGCAGAGGTCATGGGGTCACTGAAACTCACCACTGGGCCAGATCGTCCAGTGAGACCCATTGGACCTGATGTACCTCTCATGGCGAGCTGCGAAAACAAACCAAAGAATCAAAATCACCAAAATATCATCAAACATATACAAGAATTGTCAGACATCTACTCCCCTCAGCCAGAGGAGGAGGGGCGGTGCCTGCATTTGTCAAGGACAGATCTGAGCACTAATCTGCAGCACCTGTCGGGTCGCCATCCTGCGGGTCGTGAACCTTGCTAATATTTTTAACTAGTCTCTCCGCATGAGTCAAAGCAGCCTGTGCTGCTCCGTTTCACTCTTGTTTTAGTGCAAACAAGGCCGGAGCAAATCCCCTCCCCACCCTGTGACCTACCACCCCACCTCTTCCCTACAAACAGTCAAGAGTCCCCCACCTCCCCCTCAGCAAACAGCTGGGTGAAGCTTTTCATACTCACCCTGGCCTGAGAGAGAATGGCCTGAGCCTGGGCCTCCTGAGCCGACACCACTGGACCCTTTTCCCCATCACCGCCAAACCGGAACTGTCAAACATGAACAGAGTATTCATTATTATCATTTTCATTTAGAAAAACACTTCAAATCCAACACTATAAATATTGAGTCAATCCAAAACAAAAAGCAATATTTTGAATATTTAATTAGGAATTAGATAGTATTTAAAAATTTTTTGAAAACTACTAAACAACAATATGCTCTAACGAAGGGAAGCTTGCAGTCATATAACACTTTATACTGTACTATACTGGAAATACTAAGTAAATCAAATCTGAAAAGCATATTATGAACATTTAATTAGGATTAAGGTGGTTTTCAATACTCCTACACAATATGCTGTAAAGAAGTGAAATATGCAATCATTATTTTCATTTTATAGCGTCATTACATAAAACACTAAATACTATATTATGCTATATTGTAAATATTATTAGGTAATCAAATGAAAAGCAAATACTTTAGCAATTTACTAAACAATATGCTCTAAAGAAGTGAAGTATGCAGTCATTATTTTCATATACTGTATGTATCATTATAACATACCATACTATATTATATTATAGTTACTCAAATACAAAATGAAATATTCTAAATATTTCATAATGATTTAGATCCGTTTCAATCCTTTCAAAAACGACTAAATTTATACTTTATTTATACTATAAATTACTAGATATTTTCATTTATTTATTATCATTATGCATAATACTTCATTCTATAGTATACTTTACTATAAATATCAAGTGAATCAAACACAAAAAGCGACATTCTGAATATTTAGTTAGGATTTTCAGTACTTTTGAAAAATGCTAAACAACAATATGCTCTAAAGAAGTGAAGTATGCAGTCATTATTTTCAGGCATGTATTCTTATTAGGTATAACACTTTATTCTAAAATACACCAAAAATATATTAAAATACTACATTAAACAACTATGAAATGCTACATTTGGAATCTTTAATTAAGATTTAGATTTTCAATACATTTGCAAAGTACTAAAGAATAAAGCTTTAAAGAAGTAAAGTATGCAGTCATTATTTTCATTTATGTATCAGTATGTGTTACCCTTCATATTATAATTTACTATACTGTAAAAACTATATGAAATGCAGCATTACGAATATGTAATTAGGATTTAGATGTTTTTCCAAACCTCTAACTACTTCACAACAACGAAGTCTAAGTAAAGAATGTAGTCATTATATTTAGTTTTTTTTTATATCATCATATATTTCCTTGATTTTCAACTTACATATGCAAACGCACCAAAGGGATATTTAATTTGTTTTTAATACTTTTCAAGCTACTGCACAATCATATATTCTAAGCAAGTTTGTTGTAGTTGTTTTCATGTATGCATTATTGCTGAATACAAGCATGAAACTGATGTGCAAAATAGGCTGGACAGATCTGCAAAGATTTTTGGTGGATTTAGGGGTCTTACTGGCAGCATCAGCATAGTACCAGGGGGGCCTGGCAAGCCATCCGCTCCGGGAAGACCAGCACGGCCGGAAGGACCCTGAGGAAGCAGGAAGAGTGGGAGAGAAAGAGAGACGGGATATATCAGTAATTTGACACTTCTCGACTTGACAACACACAGGTAAGAGAATGCCAAGACAGGAATGAGAAAGGGAGGGGGATCGAACAGAAAATAGAGAGGCCCTCTCACTTCCATTAACCTTTAGTGAAGTTGTCTATTTTTAAGATACTGATTGTATTCATTTTCTAGCTCATGAGCACAGGGGGATATCACTGTGTAACAAATACTTTTATCTAAACAACACTTCATATGCCTGTCCAGATGGATCCCTGTTGTCTCCACCAAGTCCAATCACAGCAAATTATCACACTGTTTCATTTTTTGCTACAATAATAGCTCGGCAGGTTATGTTAAATAACACTAATAAACAATATTACATGCCATCCTGAAGTGTACAGGTCTTAGTTTGATAAAACCATTAACAGGAAGTACTCAAGATCCCACATTTTGTTGATATGCATTTCATTGCTATTTGTGCTTTAACAGTCTTCTGTTTAAATGGTCTTTTCTTTATTTTCACTTGTAAAATGAACTGTATTGGTCTACAACTGAATGATATTCTGATGCAAATAATTTACTTAGTTTCATCATTAGCATTCTTGTGTGTGTGCAGTTCTGTTAAAGAGTGTGGAATACATAGACATGTAATATCCACAACACAACCTAACATCAGAACTCCAGACAGACTTTGGAGTTGGTTTGGGAATTTGTAATGATAATTATATCCTCATTAAGGAAGAAGATGTTTTTTTGTGAGCAATGGGTGTATTTTGCATACAGAAATAGATTGAGGGTAACGTGCTGCGTTTAATCAGAAATGTGCCCACTGAACAATGACTGCTCATTCTGAAGTAACGTGAATTACTGCAATTCATCATCTGGGAACGTTAACTTGCTTTAATCTGTGTTTCTAAATAAAGCAACTCAGGGTTTCACATCTGAAAACTAAATGTGTCAGAGAGGGTGTAAATGTGCCCTCAGGGTCAGGAATCTGCCATGACCCTGTTCAGAATAAATCAGCATTATGTTTTGTTTACTGACACATTTTCATGCGGTCTTGCGGTTTACTAAAGTCAGACTGGGTTTACTAAGCCTTTCTTGCTTAGCACACAAGTTTGTCTCTAGCCTAGCCTGTGTCTCATTATGTTCATCACAGATTTCATTTGACATGTCTCTTTTCCCACTTAATCACTGTTGATTTTTTGACAAATTAAATTTCTGTGAAACTAAATATGACAAAAGAAAGATCAAGTCCTAAACCTTAACTAAACCTTGTTAATGCTCTGAAAATACCTGTGGTCGTCATAAGTAAACATAGCCTGGAGTCAAAGACTGGAACAAATTTTTACCCTGTCACCAGGATCTCCGGCTGAACCAGGGGGGCCATGTAAACCTGGAGGGCCTGGAAGACCCTGAAGACAAAATGAAAATTGAATAAACACACAAACTGGAACACAACGATGATGACCCAATTACCAAAAGATTTTAGACTTTAAAAAAAATTGCTAGAACACTTTGGTTGAATATTGCATTTTACAACTGACGCAGACAAAAATGCAGGTAACTTACAGCAGGTCCAGGTGGTCCAGCAGGTCCTTCAATCAGCATTCCCTACGAATCACAACAAAGCCAGAATAAAACAAACTGACCAGAAAAGATTACAGCATCAAATTACTAAATGAATATTTATAAACTAATCTCAGTATTGTTCCCAAGGTGATGAATGCCCAGAATTCGCTTTTCACTCACCGGCTCAATCACTGCAGGTTCTCCTTTTTCTCCCTTCTGACCCAGAGCAGCACCACCACCCAACTGCAAACATACAACAGAGGTTAGACACAACAAATGATAGATAGACCGACAGAACTATAGATAACGTAGAGAGTACAGACAGACAGACAGACAGACAGATAGACAGATAGATAGATAGATAGATAGATAGATAGATAGATGATAGATAGATAGACCATTAGGGTTATTGCTGGTGCAGAGTATATGAGGTGTGAAAATACACATGAATATGAAAGCTTAAGGAAAAATGCTAAATTTGGTAACACTTTATTTTAAGGACCAATTCTCACTATTAACTAGTTGCATATTAGCATGCATATTACTAGCATATTGGCTGTTTATTAGAACTTATAAAACACACATTAATGATTATTCTGCATGACCAAATGTTAGATTCCTCAATTCAACCCCATTCCTAAACTTAACAACTATTGCTAACAATTAAATTAGCAGTTTATTGAGGCAAAAGTCATAGTTAACAGTGAGAATTGGTCCCCAAACTAAAGTGTGACCCTAAATTCATAATGTTAATCTCTCTGAGATTAACAAGATGGGAAGTGTGTAACCAGCGATGTAACGGACAGGATCTGATGCCGTCAAACCTTAGCTCATGTGGGCTGTAAGATACAGGTACTGGAGTTTTTGACGGAGGGGAAGTATGAGCTTCTTAAGGGGGTGGAGGTGGAGAAAGGTGTGTCTGAACAGACAGCTGGGTCTGTGGTATGGGGTAATTGCCGTATCCCAGGGCGATATGGGCAATAAGGTGCTGACAGTCAGAGAGTTCAAACCACAGTTGGTATGAGAGTGTGCATGTAAGTGATCTGTGAATCTATATGATCTGTCATACACAGAGACGTGAGTGAGAGAAAACCAATACGGACAAGAGGAAGAAGTGCAGTGCAGATTAGTATAAACCAACACAGCAAACAGAAAAAATGATTGGACCCCATGCAAAATAGTGCACTACAAAGCCAACAATGCATGCTAGATTCCCATATCCAACAGTCCGAGTGCTGGATGACACCCTCATTTGGGGGGCCAATACTTACGTCCGACGTCACTTCTGTTTCAGCGATGTCGGTTTCGGCGGCAACCCCTGGCCCGAAACTGTCCTCATAATTGGACGTAGGATTTGGAGCCACATTGCCAAACTCATCGTACGCCCCATACTCATATTGATTTTTGTCAAGCCCAGTCACATCATATTCCTTAAGATCATACTCCTTAAAGTCATACGCGTCCACTCCGACGGGGTCGGCGGTGCCTCTGGGCAGCGCTGCTTCTGGGGCAGCAGTCAGATCCAGACCAGCCTGGGCCGTCTCAGTGACATAGTCACCGAAAACTTCCTCTTCCACAGCCTTATTATACCCAAGCAATGCGGCCGGGCGGAGGGGAAGGGAGTTCGAGCAACGGAGGGAAGATGGATGTTAGTTAAGCAGTTAAAGCAAATACTACTGTATCTAATGCAAAGCAGGAGCAAAATTAATTGAATGAGAAATATTTATTAAGAATAGTATATAATTTTTGGGCAGCAACAAGATAACACTTCTTAGTCCCGTTCAGTGGAAATATATCAGTTGATTTGAATTGGATTCGAGGATTTGGATAAATGGTGAGATGAGAATTTAAGGCGCAAATTAAATCTGGTTAAGTAAATCACAACATTGTACAAGTTACAGTAATGGACCGATATAATCAGTAATGCACATTTATAATGTGATCTCATAGAAATACACGCAAATGAGATTTTAAAAAGTATATTTCAACACTTACTGTAAAACATTTCTAAATCTGTTAAATTTTCGGGGGAATTTTTGTGTGTTATTTGCAGAGGGACAAATAAAGTGTTAACTTTATAATTAAAAAAGGCATTATTTTTACATATTTAATAATCACACATATAAGTCTATGATAGACTTTGGGATATTCCTGTCTTTTTTCCACAATAAACATAATGGTAAAGTTAAATTATGTATAGAGGTGAAAAAAAGAAGACAGAAATAAATGACACAAGTCTGAAATGACACTACCATGATTACAAATACACACACTAATGCATTAATGATGTGATCAAATGCAGGAACAGATCATATTGTAAAAGTCTGACTCTGCATTTGATTACAACAGTCAAGATTTACGGTATGTTTTAGTACATAACCATAAAAAAATTGTCAAGGAACACCAGTTTTTATTTCAATACTGAAAATCTAGCACAAGGGGCATTTAGACATTTCTTACTGCATTTAATTTGAGAAAAAACACACCTACACTTATAATGTGTCTTTAATATCCAACATAAACTTACTGTAGAACCACCCTGTAAATACATCTATATGGCTGTGAAAGAGTTCAATTCTGTTGAATATATAGTTCTGATAACTAGAGCCAGAACTTTTCAACCAGAATACACCAGGAACGAATGCTATTATCTTTTGTTTCTTTTTCAAAGGTCCACATATTTGGGTCACTTACTGAGGGAACTGTTTGGAATGGGACGTGCTATCTTCTCAATGATAGTTAGGGCTAGAAAATGGGCAACCAGTCAACATTTAAGCAACCAATTCCAAAACTTAAGCCAAAAAGACAAACATATATAATTTTCACTTAGCTGGTTGATCAGTTCACTGCTTTAAATTTAGATCGGATGGTTGAACGTCCATAAATTGCAGATTTTTTCTTAAATACAGCCTTAAATATCATTGATATCCACAACAGAAAGCTGAAATGACAGAACAGAAACCAGCTGCATGGCAATCCACTGAGAAATATCTACTTGATATTCAAAACATGTTCAACGTTTCAGACTGGAAAACATCACAGGAAGTGGATTGGCTAAATTTAGAACTTGCCGGTTTTATCAGCTTTATGTTGTTGGATAAAACAGTTCCCTTGTGGTGACAGTCCCAGAGTCGAAAAACACAGAACAATTGCCATGAATTGTTTTGTTTTTGTCATTTCAAATCAAATACTTCCTCGTCATACGTGCTCCTGGATTTTTCCCCATTCTGTCCCACATTTTATTCGCCCTACCATCATAATATATAATCAAATGATTACCTGGTTTGGTCCAGTGGTTGCGACAGAAGACTGAGTTTTGGAAGCATCTACTGTTCCGTAGTCAAGTTCACTGTCTGTATAGTATTCCCCATCTACATTGTTAGGCTATAGCAGTTTCAAAGTGAGAAGAAAAGAAGAAGAAGAAGATAAGAAAGGAGGAATTAACACAGTTCAAGCAGTTCCACAAGCGTTACAGGCTGGATCCACGAGGACGGCACCTAGAGAAATGGGGCGGACGGCACGCTCAGACTAGCATCAGAGGTTTCCCTCACCGAAAGAGAGATCTTGATGGGTTCTGACATGAGCTACGCTTGTACTATTACCCCTAGAATGGCTTTTCTTGTTGGCGGTGGCAGGTATCCATATCTCTTCTTCTTAGGTGCTAACTTTTTAGCCTGTTTTGGCTCCTGGTACTTATAGGGTTTGGAAAAAGATTTAGGGGACTTTCTCATCCTCTTCGTTTTCATGGAGACACTACGTTTTACTCTCTGGAAGAAGGTTATGGTGAAGGGAAAAAGACACAACACATCAAAATATCTGTGTTAGAAGATAAATAGGTTCACATTTTTTCAAACATGGCTTACTTAGCTTAAGAATAACTTGGTATACACTATCCTTCAAAAGTTTGGGGTTAGTTTTTATTTATTTATTTATTTTAAAAAATGTGACCCTGGACTACAAAACCAGTCATAAGGATAAATTTTTCAAAATTGAGATTTATACATCATATGAAAGCTGAATAAATAAGCTTTCCATTGATGTATGGTTTGTTAGGATAGGACAATATTTGGCCGAGATACACATCTGAAAATCTGGAATCTGAGGGTGCAAAAAAAGTCGCCTTTAAAGTTGTCCAAATGCATATTACCAATCAAAAAGTTTTAATATATTTACAGTAGGAAATTTACAAAATACCTTCATGGAACATGATCTTTACTTAATATCCTAATGATTTTTGGCATAAAAGAAAAATCTATAATTTTGACCCATACAATGTATTTTTGGCTATTGCTACAAATATACCCCAGCGACTTAAAGGGATAGTTCACCCAAAAATGAAAAAATTCTGTCATCATTTACTCACCCTCATGTCGTTCCAAACCTGTATGAGTTGCTTTCTTATGTTGAACATACTAAGGATTCTAAAGGATCATGTGACTGAAGACTGGAGTAATGGCTGGTGAAAATTCAGCTTTGCCATCACAGGAATAAATTACATTATAAAATATACAAAAATAAGTAACAGTTATTCTAAAATGTAATAACATTTTGCAGTATTACTGTTTTTACTGTATTTTTGATCAAATAAATGCAAATGCAGCACAACAGACTTTCAAAAACGTAAAAAATTTTTTTGAAAGGTAGTGTAAATCTATCATGATATTAGAAAAGTGGATATTGAGAAGATTTGAGTAGTCAAATATGTTGTTCTGATACCATAACTGAGGCGATTTCAGGCTTGCTTCAAAGAACGGTCATTCTCAAACTTAAAGCAACACACGTTCGATAAAATGGCCACCATTTGACTATTAAGTTCACATAATATCTTTTTTTTTTTTTATTAAACAGTGTATAGAGTTTACAAACATGGACAGACAACATATACTACGTGGGCAAAAGTATGTGAACTGCTACAGTAATTTATGGGCCTGGCTATTTAAGCTAACAGGTGCTTAAAATCTAGCATACAGCCATATAATCTCCTTAAACAAACATTTTCAGTGGTATAGGGCGTACCAAAGTGCTAACATCACAGGACAACGGTGTGGAAGAAATTGACTGGCCCAGACAAAGCCCACACCACATACTTTTGCCCATGTTATTTATACAGGTCAAGGAAAAGGGGCGGGGCCACCCCATGATTGACATAACAAACACATCACATATTTCCTACATTTACCTGCGGCTCAGAATATTCATCTGTCGCTGTGGGGGTCGCTCCCTCATAATAATCATATAAATCACCGTAATCAACAGCAGTTGTGTACTGCACACAGGGAGAGGATGAGAGAGAGGTTAGCAAAGCATACAAAAGTCATGTAGAATGTAATCTACCCTTGGGTGTATTACATACTTTGATGGTTAGATTTACTGTATAGCTGGTTTTATACAGTGCAGATGATTAGACACAGGTTTATCATACACAGCATATTATCATTATTTTTTACTAAAGCATCCAATGTTAGAGCGCAACGTCATGATCAAAACAATCTAAACACCTAAAATGTTTGTTTTTTGTTTTTGTTTGTTACTCTCTACTGTGTGAGTTCAGCATGTATGAACATACTGCATTAATTACGTTAATGTATAACATGTGATGCACTTATTCTGATATACAGGTGGGTGTTTAAAACTCTATAAAAACTCCCTGCATGTCCGAAGCAGAGATAACAGCCATATGTTGGCTGCTTTCTTAACTGAACCCCCTTTTTTCTTCTTTCTCATCTTTATTTGTGTGTAAAACCCCAGCTGCCTTCTAAAGCAAAGGCTGATTAAAGGCTTAGATCTATAGAAAGAGTCACATCTATTTGATTTTCTTATTTCTAACACATTTCAAAGTCTTATTAGCTATAAAACTTAATGTGTCATGTAGGAACTTGTCCTGGGACGAGGGATTTTATACACACACACAAAAAAAGGTACTGTACATCCAAAATGTATAATTGGCATCATACATTGTATAGATGTTAAGTGTTAAGTTTAGAATATTAAGTTAATATTAATATTAGAATTAGGTTAATATTAATAAAAAGTGTTCGAGTCGGCCATTTAATGTCAGTTTATACGCATTCATCAATTATGACACATTTTAATGAAAGTATGAATGGTTTTTGCTAAAGTTTATGTAGCAGTTTTTCTGTTTCTATTCCTTCACTGAAAGTAAGGGCAGCAGGAAGGCCGATAAAGCCACTGAGCCTGGCTCTCCAGGGCTTCATCCATCAAACACAAGTATATGTTAATCCTAATACAGCATAAGATCTCATAAAACAGCCACTGCGCTGATGATTTGGCCCTCTTCCATGACTGGTGATCAGTCAGCGTTCAGTAGGACACCGTTCAGCCAGGCCGAGGGTAATTTATGTGAGTCAAAATGCGAGAAAGAGGGTTATTGATTTCTCCGATACAGGAAACGACCCTCTCCCTGTTTCGGCAGGATATAATGGGTTAAAATTACTTGCACGTGGTGTCTGTGTTTACAGGAGTCATCACAGAGGTCAGAAGTGTCAAGGTGTGGCTTACTTTTGACCTGTTATGTTTTTATGGACACTACCGTTCAAACATTTCAGTCAGTAATTGTTTTTTTGTTTTTTTGGAAGAAATTATTACTTTTATTCACAAATTGATCAAAAGCGACAGAAAAGATCTATTTCAAATAAATACTGTTCTTTTGAACTTTCTAATCATCAAAGAATCCTGAAAAATCCAGGTTTCCTCAAAAAAATATTAAGCAGCACAACTGTTTTCAACACTGATAATAAGAAATGTTTCTTGAGCACCAAATCAGCATTTTAGAATGATTTCTGAAGGATCATGTGACACTGAAGACTGGAGTAATGATGCTGAAAAGGCTGCAATATAACAAAGAGTGAAAAATTTAAGGGGGTCTGAATACTTTCCGTACCCACTGTATATATATATATATATATATATATAAATCTTTCCAACCCCAAATGTTTGAACGATAGTGTAAATTATATGATATTATATTATGTAATACAGTACATATATCTATTATCTTTGTAGCATGAGAGATTTTTTTTCAGTGACCATTTCTGACTGTGATGTGTTGCTTCTTTTATTTCTTATATAAAATAATAATACTCAAAATATATGATAAAATTTTACTTTTCCATACTTTGTCCAAAAAATGTACAATAATAATAATAATGATAATAATAATAATAATAATGCACTATGTGACACTGAAGACTGGAGTAATGATGCTGAAAATTCAGCTTTGCATCACAGGATTATATTTTATAAAGTATTCAAATAGAAAACAGTTATTTTGAATTGTAATACAATTTCACAATGTTATTGTTTTTTCTGTATTCAATGATAATAATAATAATAATAATGCACTAAAGTATGATTTTAATTTAAAATGCAGTTTTGATTTGTAACATTTTTTGCCCACTACATAATTCATGTACTTGAGTGTTATTTCATAGTTTTGATGACTTGTATATTATTCTAACCCGTGGAAAACAACAATGAAGTTTGAGTCTGTGTGTCCAATTGTTCGACTGGTAGTGTCAAAAGTATCATCAGCGTGCCAGACTTCCAGAAACCTTTGGTCTACTGGATACTGCAGGAAAGACCATTTCCTCTGCTGGTCAGTGCAAAAGGTCTATACTAACCTCCTCTCCGGGCTCCTGTGCTTGCAGTGTGTCCTTGTGGGGGACGTCACAGTCTGGGCTGTAGTGTTCACAGTAGTCGTAAGCTGCTTTAGGGTCGGCCACAATCAGCAGTTGCTGGATGTCACCCTGAGGGGACGAATGACAGGAAGATACATGAGATACATGTGCCAAAAAATACCTCTGTTATTAGTACAGAGACACATATATGTAATATATTATCTGCATGAAAAAATAACAAACCCATCTTATCCTGGTTAGTCAAAACATAATAAAAATACCACTCTTGTACTGCAGGAAATACATGCAATTTTGGAATTGCAAGGCAACAAAACAACAAACCACTTTCACAACGAGGAACGCAAGGTCAGATGGTTCAGGAAATTGCTGTATTATAAGCAGGTAAATAAAACGTGTTTCATCATGAAACACCTGGTAATAGAAACCCACACAGGAAGCTTCCTCTCATATAAAATGCTGCCTGCCTAACAATGCTTAGGCAACAATACATAAAACCTTCTGGTCAACAACACGTTAAACACATATAAAACACATGCATGGTCTTTCTTCCAAATGAGTGAAATCTGTTTCTCGCCATTGTTGTGTCAATAGTATACATTCATTCTGCATTATGATCAACAACTGGATGATAAAAGACATAATTTACTGTATGGGGTTTTGATTTAAGTGATTACATTTGTGCATTTTTAGGCCACATGTCTTTTATGGGCTGTAATTATCAGATCCAGATCTTTCTGTTCAAATGCTGGGGGGATTCAGGGTGACCTGGGTCTGTTACGAGGAACAACCATGACTTTTACAGTACAGTCCACGAGTAGAACTGGGGGATGTGTTGGAACCTGAGGTCTTTCCTTGGCACTGTTACAAAGAGAGAGAGAGACTTTAGCAGCAAGGCAACCCCGAAAAAACCCAAAAAACAGCAGGCTTGGACTTGTTAAGGGCATGTGTGTGTCTGCGTGTGTGTATTTTTACACCACATTTATATATATATATATATATATATATATAGAAAAGCTATGAGAGGTATGCCCAACCCCAACTGTCTTGGATGAAACTGTCAGGTAAAATGTATGTGACCATTTGTAAATTACATTTTGACAATCTTCTTAACATTTGACTGCTTTTATGTCCAAAAGCCCAATAAATCTACTGTAAATATTATATTGCAAAAAACAAAGAAGAAGTTGCAGATATACAGAGCCCCACACATGAATTGTGAAATAAAAAATAGATTTTATGGCCACAAAGTAAGAATTGATTTCTACAATTTATTCATTCCTGACTATGTTTTGTTTATGTGTTTCCTCATTTTAGTTAAATCATGGTTATGATTAAAACAAACTAATAAGTTGTGGGAATTATTTATTAATTCACGGCCACATTATCTTCTTTTTTTTTTGGCACGTGTGGAGCTCCATAGATATTAAATATTGAGTATTAAAGTTGGCATATTAGTTGTTAAATTAACTATGAACTGGTTAGTAATTCACATGGTAAAACAACACAAAAAAATGCCAAATCATCAACAAAGAGAAAATGTTTCAGATAGATAATTTGGCCCAAATTCATAGTTAATTTTGACAACTAATATGTGACCCTGGACCACAAAACCAGTCATAAGGGTCAATTTTTCGAAATTGAGGTTTATACACCTTCTGAAAGTTGAATAAATAAGATTTCCATTGATGTATGGTTTGTTAGGATAGGACAATATTTGGCCGAGATACAACTATTTGAAAATCTGGAATCTGAGGGTGCAAAAAAAAATCGAAATATTGAGAAAATCACCTTTAAAGTTGTCCAAATGAAGTTCTCAGTAATGCATATTACTAATCAAAAATTAAGTTTTAATATATTTACAGTAGGAAATTTACAAAATATCTTCATGGAACATGATCTTTACTTAATATCCTAATGATTTTTGGCATAAAAGAAAAATCATTAATTTTGACCCATACAATGTATTTTTGGCTATTGCTACAAATATACCCCAGCGACTTAAGACTGGTTTTGTGGTCCAGGGTCACATATATCAACTTCAAAACTCAATATTTAATATCTATCAAGCCCCACACATGCAAAAAATGTAATTCCTACAACTTATTAGTTTGTTTTAAAGCAAACACTATGTAACTTTTTCTGAGTTCAAAATTTGCTAAATGTATATAATGAGCGAGTACATCATGAATTCATCTTCCAAACCGCGTTTTTGTCTTATTCCGAATCACTACGGTACACTTATAATAAGTACTTATATTTGGACTATTGTAGCCTGGTCGGGTCATCACCGCTGCGGAGTAACACATACCTGCGTGAAGCACCATAGAAATAAACTTAGAGAAGTAGCTCTGGTTGGAATGTTCTTCCGCGGGATGTGTGCAGTTCTGTTTATTAACTGCTAGAGCGCCAAAAGTTACATAGTGCTGCTTTAATTTTGAGATCCTATAGGCATATACAAAGGGAAACTTTTAATGTATGATCCCAGTCATCATCTTCAGAAAAAAACAGGTTCACAGCAGCCCAAAAAAAGTGTAAGGGTCAATTAAATGTTACGATAAAAGTACTTGCATTAAAGCAATTTCAGCAACAATATGGGGCAATAAGACATCATTCCCATCCCCCACTAAGTTCGTTCTCCACCACATGGGTAAACACACACCCAAGCCCTCCTCCTTACCAAGAAGCAAAGCATTTCAATATCACCTGTCAATCGGCCCATTGTACTAAATTATTTACAGCTTTAACTCATTTTGACCCTGCACATTCCACACTGCTTCAATTGTGACTTTTAAGAGAACAAACGCACACATAACACTGTGAAACAGCAGTTACCTAACAGACACAAGCTACACTTTTGCACCAAAAACAGTCAAACAGAGGTGTTGAAAAGTGCAGGAAGAAGTTGCTAAGCAAATCTATTTATATATGTCATAGAGTATCATAACACACAGTCATGACTGTGAAAATATTTTTATAGTTTCCATTAATTAGTCATTTTCTGCTCTAATCAAGATGATGGCAGGGCTGCTGACTCTCCTTTAAACCTGTAATTAATTAGTGTCTGCTAATTAATACTTGGCCTAGTTCATGTCTGACATAAATATGCCACCCCTTCGGTTTTCATACAGTGCAAAGCGCTTGGCAAAGAAAGTACGTGTTTTCTAAGTTTTTTTTGGGGGGAAATAAAATGGATTTGTGCTGGTCAAATTATCCATATTTTGCTCAATTATCCACACTTTTCAATACCTTAAACCACCAAATAAACATACTCAGGTTCTTCTTTTACGATGATACACATACTAGTTGTACTGTACAGAATTTACAACATTAACCATGTTGAATGAAAGCCTCGGCTGAGCAATCTGTGCATGAACAGGACTCCTCTGGCTTTGAGTAGCTTTAATTACAAGGTGAAAGAAGCCTTCATAATAGGAAGCGAGGGAAAACCCGACCACTTAAAGGTAAACAGTGACACAAGGCTTGTCTGTCTTATACAAAGCAAGCTTATGTCCAGAGGGACAAATTTTCACCTCTGCCATTATGGAAATGATCTCCGATATTAGTCAAATCTAAAGAATTTTGCATCTTTAATATGTGGAGAAGTTACATTTATTCTCATAGTCTTTAAAACAACTTACATGAAAGTGCATGTATTGCTAAAGTGGAAATTTACAACAAAGGCCACATTAGGCTAAAGTGAACAAAGACTCCACATACCATAATGTTACATAAAAAGATGCTTACGACAGGTTTCCATAGAGATCTTTCTCATGGAGCTATAAAAGACAATAACGAATGGGATGCTAAGGCAAATAGCTAGCTTGAGCCAAACAATGTAAAGGCCTACATAGCATCCCACAAACTCTAGTTTGAACTATACAGTTGTTTAGCCCTCAGAAACCCATGAAATTGCAGAGTCTTTGAAATTAGGCCACTTGCAAATTTCAAAACTGCAAATTTAAACAGGCAGTCACCACATTTAGCATGACTTTAGCAAGCTGGGATGCTCAATATGTAGATCTATTCCTGATGCTGAAAAAAAACAAAAAACAAAATGAAACCAACCTAAGCTGGGGCGTGTTTCCCAAAAGCAACTATGGTCGCAAGTTCCGTCATTACCAATAGAGTTCAGTGGAATTAGCGATCATAAATAGCTAACAATGCTTTTGGGAAACAGACACCTGGTTGGCTGGTTTTAGCTGGTCTTCCAGCCTGGTCATAGCTGGTTTAGCAGGCTGGTTTTAGAGGGGGTTTGACAACTTCTTTAGCTGGTCACGCTGGTTTTAGCTGGTCAGGCTGGGAGACCAGCTGACTAGCCAGCTAAAACCAGCTGAACACCAGCTCGATCAGGCTGGACGACCAGCTTGACCAGTTTAAACCAGCTAAGACAGCTGGGACACTGTTGCCATGATACAAGTGAATAAAATAGGTATTTAAAAGGATAGTCCACACAAAAATTTAAATTCTGCCATCATTTACTCACCCGAATGTCATTCTTTGTTCTGTGCATGAACATAAAATAAGATATTTTGAAGAATGCTGACCAAACTGTTTCAGTTCCCATTGACTTAAAAATAAAAAAAACAAAAAATACAATGGACGTCAATGGACGTCAATGGCAACCGAAACCGGTTACCAACATTCTTCAAAATATCTTCTTTTGTGTTCCACAGAAAAAAGTCATACAGGCTTGTAACAACATGAGGGTTAAATGATAGGACTAAATTATGTTTTCATTTTTCACTATCACTTTAACCGATTGTGTTGAAATTTCACTGAAGTGAGTTTCTGAGGGTTAAATATTTTAGATATGATGTATGCATGCATGTAAGGCCATTTAATCTACTAGATGGACAAAAGGAAATACCGTATCTTATTCGCAATCCAAAACTTCTCAGCAGGACCTCTTTTTGTATTTACAGGGCTGTTTATTTCTCCCCCATACTAGTTTTATTTGTCATTAAATGGGCTGAAAAAAGCATGTGGATACCCCGGAGCTTAATTATAAATTTAGCTCTAGTTTGCTCTCCAGTTCTCAAATGAACAGATGTTGTTCTAATAATGTTAGACACATTAAATACACGTCAATTTATACTTGATCACACCATCAGGCCGACACCAGTGTAGTGCATTAATGCAATGAATACAGCTTTACCTCAAACGCTTCCTCATCCAGGATCCTGGTTCCAAAAACGGTTATACCATTGGTGTCAATTCCAGCATGGTCACTCCTGCCCAAGGGCTTTGTGAGCTTCTTCTTGCAGTCGACAATGATGGTCACGGTCTTCTTCTCAACACTGATGCCTACACGATGCCACCTGCGATGAACAGGAAGAGTAGGTAATTACAATCCCAGCAAATGGTTAAAGGTCTCCACACGTGAGACGTGCCTTACTTTAAAACCTTAGACAATTTGCCTTCATTCTTGAGATATAAAATTCCTGAGTGGACCACATTCCAGCCTTCAAATTTTGGCCTTGTTTAACACTGGATTAAACTCATTAAACTCTAGACCAAATCCCCCCTGTGAGTTATTCAGCATGACAGACACCGTGAACATTGTAAAAAGTGTGTGTCAGGAAGGTACGGCTGAGAAACTGAACTGTAGAGTCAAAACACTGAGCTGCGGAGGGAAACTGTTGGACAGGTTTGCGGTAAGAAGCCACAGCGAGAATTTAACACTGGATTAAACTCATTAAACTCTAGACCAAATCCCCCCTGTGAGTTATTCAGCATGACAGACACCGTGAACATTGTAAAAAGTGTGTGTCAGGAAGGTACGGCTGAGAAACTGAACTGTAGAGTCAAAACACAAAACAGCTGCGGAGGGAAACTGTTGGACAGGTTTGCGGTAAGAAGCCACAGCGAGATTTCAAAGGCGTATCAATGGCACCCACAAGGGTGATCAATTTCCCATAATCCACTTCATTAGAAAGAAAAACCTTTATTCTGGCTCGTGTCTTTAAAGTACTTGGCAAACTTGAACCGAGACAAGCTTTACTGTGTCTGGAGACCAACATTTCTGGATAATTTAGCTGCTAACAGAATACAATTTACATAGTTAAGAGCGATTACGTGAATGATTGATAGATGTGTGACGGTGTCATTTTCATGAATTATGCTGACAACACATTGTAGCACTTTCTGATTATAATGACATTTAACACAAATGTTTTTCAGATTCTTTATACAAGATCACATTTCCATCATGACCAACTGTAATTGTATGTCTCTGAGGAAGATAAACCACAAAAGCATATTGCAGTTATATTAAAATGGTGATAGCTAATCTTTTTAGCTGTACAAATGATTTTTAAAAGCCACTTTTAACCGTAATTTTTCCTGCATGAGAGGACTGGAATGACAGAATTAGCCCAATTAAGGTGCATTTAACCTGAAACCCTCATCAGCACTATAATCAACATAAGCACTATAATCCCTCATGGAAATATTGCTGTTTTTACAGCAAAACACCCCACTGAACTGATACCAATAAATCCTTTTAAACCCTAATAAGACAAAGCATGTCCATTGCGGTCAAATACTTTTAGCGTTTGAGGATATCAAATTAAGTTTAAATGGATGTCAGGACAATAAAGAGCATTTGAAATGTTTAATGCACATTTTAATACAACCACTATTTTTTAAGGAAGCATGTTTCCATCTTAGACCTTAAAAAACGTAATAGCGTAATTGTGACTATTTCTTGCAGCTGTGACTTTATATATTGCGATGTGACCTTTTATCTCGTAATTGTTACTTTATTTCTCATAATGTGACTTTTATCTTGTAATTGTGACTTTATTACTCACAATTTTGACTTTAGCTATATATCTCAGGTGCATTTCTTTCTCATAATTGTGACTAACTGTGACTATATTTCACAATGTGACTTTTCATCTCATAATTGTTAATTTATTTATCAAAAACTCGACTGTCTCTCTATGTGACTTTTTCTTGTAATTGTGACTATGTCTCACAACTGTTACACTGTATCTTATAATGTGACTTTTGTGTCATAATTGTGACTGTATTTCTCGAAAATTTGACTTTATATATCATAATGTGATTTTTTTTTATCTCAGGAATGTTACTTTATATCTAGCAACTGTGATTTTATATTTAACATTTGATTATATCGACTTTTTCTCTTGTAATTGCGAATTTATTTCTCACAACAGTGTCTTTATCTCACAATATGTCCTTTTCTATAAATGTGAATTTATATTTCGCAATGTGACTTTTTATCTTGTAAATGTGACTTTATTCCTCAAAACTGTGACTTTATACCTCACAATGTGAATTTATCTTATAATTGTGACTTTATTACAATTGACTCTGTATCTCATAATGTGACTTTTATCTTATAATTGTGTCTTTATTTCTCACAACTGTAACTCTATATCTCATGTGACTTTTTATTTCATAACTGTGACTTTATGACTTGTAGCTTTATATTGCACAATGTGACCTTTTGTCTTATTTAAAATTTCTCACATTTTTTTTTTTTTAACTTTGAGACAGGAACAGGCTTCCATAAATATATCTTAATGTTGGTAAGAGCTTCCTGATGATGTTATCCAAGAGATTAATTTCTGAGGTCATGCATCTGCCCCATATTTCTAAAATAACAGTACCCCGAAAGATCACTGCCGAGGTCAGATCACCTACGGTCCTGTCTGCTTCACTCCATCAATCCAGAGTCACAATGAGATCTCCTCTGGCTCGCCTCAGAGAAGAAACCACACATAACTAATGCTTCAACAGACACCTGAAATTCTGATTTGTCTACTTGTTAACTCTCGTCAACCGAAATGACTCTAAAACAGAAATATCTTCCTCCACATATGATCGCTCAGGACTACAGTGTAAAACTCCAGCCTGGCAACAAATGACTTCCTGCTGATGACTGACCCCTGTCTGACCCTGTCTGGAGTCAGTCTCAGTCTCTGTCTCTGAGGATGGATCTAAACAGCCTAAAAAAGGCTGCTGTACATTCAGCTTCGTGCTTTGTGACTTACTTTCCGTCGGCCAGGTTGAGGGAGCGGAACAGCGGGTAATCCTCGGGGGCAGGCTTGCCTGTCTGATCCTCGTACAGGAAGACAGGTGAGCGGCCCACCTCCACGCCTAGTTGCTGGACGCCTTTCTCGTTGTAGATGGACAAAAGGAAGGACTGGATTCCAGCTTTGGGCTTGATGGTGGTTAGGATGGAAAAGTCTTCAGGGAACACACCATCTAGAAAACAGCACAGACAGAAAACAAGCTCACTGAAGGGTTCATTGGGTTTTTGAAGTCCATCCAAACAGCTAATTGCAATGTTGAAACTAGAAACATAATGGAGGACTATGAGTGCCACTTAAAAACAAAATAAAGGAATGAATTGATTATTACAAAAATAAATAAATACTAATTTAACTAAATTTTTAAACATGAATTAAACAGTTAAATCTTTCTATTTATTTGTCAGCTTGACAAGTGATTTATTTATGTACTTTTTTATTTTTAAAATTACATTTAAACAAATTCCTTTGTAATCTGTAAAGCATTTTCTGGCTATAATAAAGCAGTTTAATTCATGCAGTTCTTTAATTAGTTACTTTGTTAGTGAATATGCATTATTTAATTTTTTAAAAAGGCCATTAATGGCACAAAATGAGAAAAACATTGTAATTTATCAGACGTTTAATATCCAGCTAAAAAGGGGTGATGCAAGAAACTTGATAATAAACACCAGATTTATGGCATTGTATAGGCTGAACAGATATTAAAAAGTAATAAACATGCATCTGTTTTCCACCATATAAAGAAACATCTCCAACTTTAAAACCTCATTCCGATTACATAATGCATCTCAAACCTATCATAAAAACTCAGAGGACTTAGAATATGGTACACAATTTGCATGGGGTATTTTTATTGGGGTTCATTGATTAATTTTTATTTGTACATAAAAGAGCAGCTTGGACATTCTGCAAAACATCTTCTTTTGTGTTGCACGAAAGTAAGAACGCAATTTGGAATGACATGAGGCTGTGTAAATGATGACAGAATTTCCATTTTTGAGTGAACTATCGCTTTAAAAATTTCTGTTCATTTCTTATGCAACTAAGCAGACAAGCCATGCTGTGGTCAAGAGATTTCAGCCAAGTTCTCCTGCCGCTTAACAATACAAGCGTCTGAGTGAAACATGGCCCTGCACAATCAGGGATGGCATCTGCTGTCAAAAGCCTTGGCAAGCACAACATAGGGCGCATTTAAACGTAGGCAGGATATGGAGACATGCTCATGGGGTTCAGCTTACCTGGGAAAAGCTGCTTGGTTGGGGCACTGATCTGGGCATTCTTGCCTATTTTGTAGGCCGTGTCCGGCTGTGATGCTCTTCGGTTTGTGCAAAATCCTGAAGTTTTCTGTAGTCCTTCTGGGACAGTGGGAAATTCTAATACTTTTAGGACATCCACAGGTTCTGCTGTATGGGGTAGAAAATATACATAAAAATGTTAACAAATAAATAGAAATGCATTCAATGTTTAGCAGATAACCTTTTTTTATAATAATACGTTTAAATAATTTTTTTAATTACTGAACTAGTGTGTTTTCATAATTTTAACAAACTTCAACAGAATGACACAAGTCTCTTTTTATAATAATACTTCTAAATGCTTTTTAAAAAATACTGAACTAGAGAAATTGAGAAATGTGTTTTCATGATTTTGACTTGAACAGAATGACAAGTTTCTTTTTATAATAATACTTTTAAATAAATAATTAAGATTTTGCTGGTTATATTTCAGTTAACGATTACCTAAATTAAGTTTCTCTAATTGGTTATTCCTATAATAGGTTGTGGACGGTAAGTTTAATGAAAAATGCACAGTCAAATTAACCAACCTATGACCAGATAGAGAGTATCACATTTGACATTATTGTATGACCCACAACCACAAAAAAGAAGCCAATATTTGAAATTCAATCTGTTTTACTTGGCTATGCGACAAAACTCACATCATTGGTCTTCATTCCTATGAGATTAGACCCTTGTAAAATACCCGATTCCCCCTTCAACTCTTTGGATGATACTTCAGCAACAGCTGGGTTAAGTAAACTTGAACAAACGGTTTCATTATGGTTAACGAAGCAAGATGAAAGACAAACACTGTTCACCCCGGATCACCCAAGAACTCAAAACCTTAGAAAGCACCATTAAGTGCGATTCATTGCGAATGTATGGCACATGTTTGGCCGTTGGGTGTTATCCAGAGTCTACCAACAGTGCCATATGTGTCTTCTGGGACTTGAGTGAATCTTTGGCATCTACCACATAAAACTGAACACTCAAACCGCCAAAAATAAAGGGCTGCTACGTCACAAAAGGCTGGGCTCATCCGAGGGAGGTCTAAAATGCTGTAATAAAGACGCTGAGGCGCTGTGGAGAAAACATTTACCACCCCATTTAAAGCTCTAAAAAGCAAAGCCGACAAACCATTCTTCTGCCGGTTCTTTGTGCTGAATGAAAAGATTCCCCACTATATCTGAGAGACTCAGTCCGAGCTTTACGCTGAACATACAAGCTAGACAAAAGGAAAACCTCAAACTCATCCAATACAATGACAGAGCTGAGAAGGAGAGTTGTTTTGAGGGATCTTCTGGAGACGTTCTCCATAACCTCAGGCCTCATATATTCCAGATGTGGTGCTGCAGCCCGAGTCTGACCTTTTGCCATGCAAGTGCCAAAGAAAAATGTCAATACTCCTAAATCCTTCAGAAACCAACTGAGAATGTGCCGTCATTAGGAGAGCGCAGCTGATGACCTGGTGTGATTTTAACCAGATTTCTGTGCAAATACACACGCTGATCTTTTTCACTGTCATTCTTTTTTTGATTTAGACAGACTGGTGTGTGTGTTTGTGTGTGTGGGAGAGAAGGTTGATTAGACATTGAGTGTGAATGTGGAAGGAGGTACTAACTGAGAGAGAGAGAGAGAGAGAGAGTAGCACATCATCAAGATCATAAACCTGCTATCATCTGATTCTACGGAACACCCAAAAGTGGGAGGGGCTTTTTCTACAGGAAGTTCTATAATTTGCATAAATCATTTCATTAAGAAAGTCACTGTTATGGTAACAGGACGACACAAATGTAGAGTTAAAATAACAGATGTCCAGATGGATACGTTTTCATAGGTTCCAGAGAAATACATTTAGAATATTTTTCGAATTTCGTTTTTTAGGGTGATATTAAATGGAAAAAAACTGGGGACCCTTTTACCTGCTGCTCCTTGAGACTCTAATAATGAATTCAGTCAGAATCTCTATCTCTCTCTCTCCCCCTTCTCCTCTCACTCTCCCCTCTTTGACACATGCGTGCCGCTTGAACAAGACTGCATTATGCCACAGGCTCTCTGAGAGGCAACCTCACTGACAGAATTTTTTTGCAAAAAAAATTTTCCCCATGTCTTTCCCCCCCTTTCACGACTGTAGAGAAACATCAAAGAACAATAAAGCCTTTCAACCATCTGCTTCCCAAGAATACTGTTCAGTTCACCTCATATTCCAGTATTAAAGGGACAGTTCAGCCAAAAATAAACAATTTGTTACATTTAGTCTCACTCATGTTGTTCCAAACCCTTTCTTTCTTGCGTGGAGCGCTTAAGGAAGCAGAATGAAAGTGGATGAGGACCTGATAGCGTCTAGTTCTTAAGACACAGTCTTAACATAGAGACTAAGTTTATGCACACGGAACACCACTTTTATTGTATGGAAAAGAACAGCTTGAACTTTCACCCATAATATAAATATCTTCTTTTGTGTTCCACGAAACCAAAAAAGTCACAGGTTTTGAACAACATGAGATTAAGCCAATGATGATAGATTGTTCTGGAACTTTTTATTGGATGAACTGCATGCAATTATGTAACATCAAAATGTTTGAAAAAACAGACTGAACCACATTTCTAGCCAACAAACATGCATTGAGTTTCGTCACAAAAGCATGACTCGTGAATGTAGCCCAAATGTTCTTGAGACCTGGTCGGCAAAATCTAATATAAAAGTAAGCAAAGATTTCTGAAATGTGTGCATTGTCTGAAGGAATGCACATCTGAGGTTCCTCAGCCTGAGGGGCTGAGAAAACATGTCGGTACACTGCCAGCTCAAGAGGGCACCCGACAGAAATGCCTTCACAAGCTACAAACCGCAAGGGATGTAACGTGCAGCTTCAGAAGTCAAATGAGATTAATACATTTTAAGATTCATTATCAGCTTTGATAGACAAAAGAGGATTATTAAGCTCGGATCGCTCACACATTTTGGTCATATTCAAGCAGCCTTAGGAAATGTGGCAAATGAGAACAACGGCAATCTATTATCTTATTTACATCTGTCATTTCCGAACAACATAAATGCCTAATTTAATTTTGTAAGGACCTTTGTTCCTGTAAGGGTGAGCGAGACCTATCATAAGGCCAGGCTGGGGCCCCTGGGTGGCTCCGGGCCCTTTGAAGCCTCCAAAATAATAGGGATGAGCAGAGAGGACAGTCATCAAATAACGGGAAGGCACTTAGTAAAGAAACATTCCCACTGGGAAACTCGTGAAGACTGGGAGACATGGGAGTCACAGTATTGCAAAAGCCACTTGGGCTTCGGTGGAACTAGGGTTGAATGGCGAAAGGGTGATTTTGACTGTAACCCACTGTGATCTATGCTAATTCCTTACCCAGTGGAAATTGAGGTGCTAAAGCACTTTGACTCAAACATGCTAAAAAGACTATAGGATATGTAAATAATAATAAAAAAACTATACATATGTATGTATTCATAATCAAATGACTTGTTACACTTATGATCAGTCGATCAGTCACGCCCATTGTAAATTGGACCTCCCAGGTCTCATTTACTATAAATCAAATTCCTGTCATAATTAATGATTTTATAATTTAAAACAGAAAAATCACGCAAATGTGGCCAGAACACGTAAGTCTTGTGAGCATACATTAGTATATCAGTTACTGACAATCAAAATTTAGCTCTCTTTGAATACACACAATTAGGCTCACAATCTCATCCCTAGAATCACACCATTCAAGTAGATACTTTTTTCATTTTCTTTCCCTAAATGTAAGGCATGGATGTAAAACCCTGAGGAATTCCACCCTGCTAACCGTGTCCACACACACCTAATGGACCACAGGTTCAAACAAAGAGCTTTTTTTCCCCAAAGTAAATCCTAAAGTGTCTCTCCATGACACTCTCTTAACACATTCCACCTCTCCACCCTCCCATAGAGTTTATTAGAGTAGAAAATATGCAGAAACAAAATAAAATTGCATGTCTTTTTAAATAAAAGATTAGGAATATGCAAATTAAATGGACAGATGGGTGAACAAACCAAGTCATGCGCAAAGACTGCTTGTTGGTAAATAGGTAGATACTTTCACTACTAACTGCTTCAAAGTATAGGATCAGACAATTTTTGTTTAACACTGTGATCATGATCCAAAGTCTAGTTTTGTTATGCACATACTGTAGATATGTAAAGTCTGATTTATCTTTATCTGTTATATGTGCATAAAAAAATTTGCATTATTAAATGTATTGAATGCTCTTTTGGGGAACTAGTGGGTTTATTTTAACGAACTCCGCAGACTCTTCTTCATTTTAATATTACAATGTTTTTTGACTTCTTGGGCACTTGTAATATTGTATCTTGCAGCACATACACACATATACGGGATGCAGATCTGCGATCACCTGTCTAAATCAAAACGCGTAAAAATTCGCAGGCGCAAATACGCATCGCCTATCTGACAGTCCCTACAACTTCATCAAAAGTTCGGAAGTCTATCTTTCCTTACCTGCTCTGACATTTGGAGCCTGCAGAACCAGGACGAGGGAAACTGTGATGAATTTGAAAATAGTGGAATCCAAAAGCCACCTTTTCGTTTTCCACATTGGGTACCACCTTGGCCTCTCCATGGTCGGGCGCCCACAAATGTGCACAAAACCCGGGGCGACCTCTGCTTATTTGAAAATGATGTCCCTTCTACAATCCCAAATGTGCCCGATCTGCTCTAAACAGCCATAGGTGAAGGGTATTTTGTCTCGCCGGGCCCCCTTCGATCGTCCTTTCCTTGCGCCCAGCCTTCAGACTGAAGGGATTCGGGCTTTAATCAAAATGAGACGCGGAGCGCTCGATCGCCTCACCGTCAAGAGGGCTGGACCCAGACCCTGGATTACAGGAAAAATATATATATATATATATATATATATATGAATACAGTATAATCTCCAAATTGGCGATTTGGTCAGTTGTACATCATTTTTAAGGGGTTTGTTTTGCAAAAATGACCGAAAAACTGGACACGAACATGGTTTTCTGGATGAGCGATCAGTTATACCGCGTTTCCCAGGACAACGGCCATCATTCAGAAATATTTGACCGCTTATTGCAGCGAATGACCAATCAGAATCAAGTATTCCAGAAAGCTGTGTAATGATGTTTCCGGATGATTCCATCAGTGAGTTTTTAAATTTGCGTTAACTTTGCGTAGAACCTACTTAGAATTACAAAATTTTGAATGTCAGTAAGCAGGAGAAAACGTAAAAGACAAGAAAGTAATACAACACGAAAACACCTTATGTTTTGCAGATGTTTATTCTTCAGGAGTGCATGTGGAGGTTGAGTGGGAGGGGCTAAGATTGACTGACAGAAGACCGACAGGCCTTCAGGTTTCTCAGTTTGATCCCCCCACTCAGGGGCGGATTGGCCATCTGGCAATTCTGGCAAATTCCAGTGGGGCCGGACCATTTTGTTTAATGTGGGCCGGTCAGATTTTTTCTAAATATATATAAATAAAATTGTTTTTATGGGCCAACAGCGCATAGGACAGGTTTTTATCGCTTGCACGATTTCTCTATGGTTATAATAATTTGTTTGCCAGACACATACATTAAATGTTTAAATATCTGTTACATATATGGTACTGCTTATATTATTTCACCATCTGTACACAAATGTAAGTAGTGAATGCGTGTGTCCATGGGTTGGGCTGTGTCGGTGTGGTAATGTGGGCCGGTGTGGCTACAGCGCCAGGGCTGAATTTTTGTCCCAGTCCGCCCCTGCCCCCACTCTCTGGAATGTAAAGGCAGCGAAGTTAATTAATCACAATGACTAAAAATCAGAATTAAACAAACACAACTATGAATAAAATTATTGTTTACTTTTTGTAATATGCACCATCCTTTCGGTTTTTGGAAAATGTTTTGTTTTTGGCATCTCTAGGAAATTTCTCTGTTAGATGTGGTCAATAAAGATCCCATGATCATTTCAAATAGTGTCTGTCTATTTCAGATTCAAATTTGCCATGTTAATACTGAATGCCATGTTAGCTTGAAATGGAATTGTTCAACATTATGTAATGGATCATATAAACTGATTCGTTTATCAGCTTTGCTTCTAGAACACTGTATGAATAAAATTAACAATCAGCTCTGAGAACAATTGGTGAGTAACCAGCTCATGATTCATGCCAGAAATCATCTTGTTAGCTCCATTTTTGTTAGCACGCCAAAGTCACATCTCTTCTTTACGAATACAGTAATGAATGATTGAATGATTAAATGAATCAATGAATAAAGGTGAAATGAAAAAAAAAATGACTGTGGCATTTGCATGCACTAAAATGCAAAATCAATAAGATGATTCACACAAAATCAGAGATAATTCATCATCATCATCATAATAAAAAAGCATTATGTCATCACCTAAGGGCAAGTTGGAACAGCACTCAGTGAACTGTCTGCAGAAACATGCAGTAGATCTTCAGATATTAAGATAAGATTATGTGCATGCAGCAATGCCTGTGATCATGATTACAAGGTTTGATTTGGTGACCAAATGATTTACCAACTCCTAAAAGATGACAATATTTATACTTTATAAAAATCTGTAGTGTGAATGACTAGTGCTGCATGCAAGTGATTAATATTTTTACTCTTACTGATTATGATGCAGTGGATTTCTAAATTCTTTACAGTAATTGTCACTCACCTTTCTCTCTGCTGATGGATGCTGTCAGAGATCAAAGGTCAAAACACATTCTCACAGTTACATGCCTCTGATATAACAAATTAGCATTCATATACATATTTATCATGCAGCACTCTGGTTGATAATCGCTATCATAATTCCATAAATTAATAAATAAAAACATAAAAAGTGATCCTCATTGCCAAGAACATGTAAGTTGTGTGCAGAACAAGTTTTCATTTACAATACAGATTCCTGTCAAGTGAGCTGATGTAGTTATGCATGCTTTGAACAAGATCGTTAAAAGAACACTTTTTTAGCGTGTTTGCATGAATTTGATACACGACTAGGCTCAGTCCTTACATCTCTTCACTGTGTATATTTATAAAGACACACACACACACACACACACACACACACACACACACATATATATATATATATATATATATATAAATATGAAAATTTCACAATAATTACAAATTACATGGTGAGTTCAGGCAATTACATTTTGTCCATTTGACTATAACTCTATTTTAAATTCTTCAAAATCCTATATTTTTATACAGATTTAAAGGAGAAATAAAATTACTTTTGAACCCATCTTCTAAAAGAGTGGGAAATTACCAAGCTGCTTTTGTCAACTGGACGATGACATATACATATTTATCATGCAGCACTCTGGTTGATAATCGCTATCATAATTCCATAAATTAATAAATAAAAACATAAAAAGTATCCTCATTGCCAAGAACATGTTAAGTTGTGTGCAGAACAAGTTTTCATTTACAATACAGATTCCTGTCAAGTGAGCTGATGTAGTTATGCATGCTTTGAACAAGATCGTTAAAAGAACACTTTTTTAGCGTGTTTGCATGAATTTGATACACGACTAGGCTCAGTCCTTACATCTCTTCACAATAGCAAAATAGTTCAGTTTCAGGGCTGTTCATGGGTGACCTCTGAACCAACTTGTATTGTTAATTAAAACTAAAACAAACACCATATACAAAAACATTTTCATTATTATGCAAAATAAATATAAACATTATAAAATTATTGTTATAAATAATTATGCAATAAAATATAAAACAGCATTTTATTTCAGCTAGTTGGCAAGTTTCAAGTTTTTGTTTAGTTTAAGTGCTAAAATGAAATTATAAGTAATAAATACAAATTTATAGTAAATCCAAAGAATAATTACAAATTACATGGTGAGTTCAGGCAATTACATTTTGTCCATTTGACTATAACTCTATTTTAAATTCTTCAAAATCCTATATTTTTATACAGATTTAAAGGAGAAATAAAATTACTTTTGAACCCATCTGCTAAAAGAGTGGGAAATTACCAAGCTGCTTTTGTCAACTGGACGATGACTGCTTCACTGTACTGATAGCCTACAGTGGCAATTTAGATATGACTAGTTTAAGTTTCCCTTCAGCATGAGTATTTGACCTTAAGTGGAATTGTAAGGGAAGAACTTTTCACAGGCACACACTAACCAGCCACTAGCTTCTGTCCACCAGGGTCTAAACACACAGAGCCGGAGGCAGTATAAAGGGCTCTTTCTGTCTCAGCTCAGGGCCAGAGCGCACCAAGAGCTCAGTCACTCAACATACAACCTGTGCTCTGTGTTCAACAAAGAACTCCCACAGAACACATTCCCTCAACCTGGGGAGTGAACTTAAACATGAGAAACAATCGAAAATAGGCTACTCAAATTGTACGTTTGAGAAGACTCTCTGAGGTAAAAATTTCTAGACAGTGGCAGGACTGTCATTCTGGGATTGTAAGCCGGTTATTTTCACTGTGGTCTACCATGGTGGGTACCAGAATGAATACTGGTTAAATATCGCTTCCATTTTAAGAGCGTCTACATCTGTAATGACCACTTTGTGCATGGTGGAAGCCAAACGGGGCACTGCTGCTAACTTTATTTGAATAAATAGACATAATCAGCCTACACAAGCTTGAAATAACTTTGGGCAGAGGTTCATAAATGCCTAGACCTTTGTTGTGATGTTATTAAGCATTTAAAAGCTTGTGTTGGAAGTTTAAGAAACCATATACATAGATTGCTGACTATTGCTGATTTATATAATGTAGGCTATATGTAAGTCTCACATCCTGGTTTAAGTGCAAACTAAACCATGTTCAAAAGCCTTTAGTTTATTTTTCATTGCTCTAGAGGTCAAATTTCAGTCTAACACCTAACAAAGTGGATCACAAACTGGGTGGCAGCAAATCTCTATAAATATACCCCCACATTTCAAACCGTTCTTACACCCTTGATCACAAACATACTACATTACAAGCGTTAATGGGTCTTTCCTCATGTTTAGCAGTGGTTGGAAACTCACCCCAGGGCCCTCAGAGTTATTCAAAGCAGGGTTGTAGATGTAAAATCTCACAGTAGTTCATTCAGTCTTACTTAGGAATGCCATCTTGTCTGGGCAAGCATTTTATACTTAAGGAAGCATCAAGTTTATTACTTCTACTAATATAGAATATTACCCTAGATTCAATGGTGGTCACACAAGGACCTTATTTTTGGTCGTATCTACTTTTTTAAATAAACTGTTGAGGTGGGTTGGTGAGGTTAAAAAGTGAACTTAGACTTCTGTAACTATGGAACTTAAGTAAATTAATGATTATATAATAATTAATTATAATTAATAATTAATAATTTATTAAAAAACAAAAAACTAAAATTAATGTTTGAGCAAAATTCTGAATTTTTGAACTGGCTTTTTTTTTCAATTTATTGATTTTGGAATTTGAAAAATTTGCGTTTGGCCAATCAGCGTACACTTACGTCACTGGTAGTTCCTATCGAACTGTTTTAGACCCTACTCTGAAGTAGGAGCTAATTTAGGTCCTCCAAACGGAGTTCCTATCTAAAACCGTTCCTAGTTCCTGCGGTGCAAACATGCCAAAAAGCGGGTACTTCCGCCAATAGTTCTAGGAACTACAAAAGGTTCCTCCGGTGCGAAAGCCCCTATAGAAGAACCATTTTTAGTTCCACAAAGAACCATTCAGTCAAAGGTTCTTTAAAGAACCATCTCTTTCTTACCTTTTTATAATCTGAAGAACCTTCTTTCTCCACAAAGAACCTTTTGTGAAACAGAAAGGTTCTTCAGATCTTAAAGGTTATTTATGGAACCATT